AGGGACGAACCCGAGCGGAGCGAGGGTGAGTCGCTAGTATATATATATATAAATGAAATACAATTATACGGGAAAGCGTTGGTATCTACCTATGCGTTGCACTATGTTCTATAAAAATCTAACTTTTTATGCTTAAGCGTGTTTCCTTACGATTAATAAACAAATACATCGTATTTGTGTTGATTTTAATTTTTTCTTTAATATATTTATTTCAAATATATCAAATCTCAAAAGCTTTTGATGACGATACAAACGTATCTTCTCATCCCGGCGGCGATCCGCGTCGATGACCGTGGTTCGTGCCTCCATGCCGCCATAAGAAAATGCTAATGCGAATTCACCGAAACAATAAATTATACACGTATCCAAATAATACGTGTAGATATATATATTTTCGTACATTTGTACATATTTTCCATATTATTTATTTATCGAATACGATCACTAAAATTGTATTATTCATTTAATACACAAATCAGAAATTGTTTTGTTTATGTGTTTCTTAACATAGTATACGTTATAATACACTATAATGTAACACAAGTATTTTGTAAAGATTAAAGTTTTGTTTAGCAAAGTTCTCAGCAAAACAAAATTGGTTTATCTTGAAACAAAATTTGAACTTATAAATAATCATGATAAGTTAATTATTTAAGTGTAAATCAAAATAACATGACAAAGAGCTTTACAAAAAACAGTAAACAAATATATCATCAGAAGAGCATTTATCACGGACACTTATTGAAATCTTTGGTTGAGTAATATGCCGAATATAGTCTAAGAGTCATCACCGTCTGACTCAGGCTCTGCACTCTGCAGATCGTCTGTTCTTGCAAAACCATTGGATATAATATCGAAAATGTTTGAAAAATGATACAGTCCTTATTGGGAATGTAGTGTTCATATAGATGGCTCTTCTATACGTGTAGAGTTTGTCTGTTATTATTTACAGAACATGCCAATTTTTTTTATTATATAAATATTATTCTGGATTTTTCGATGTTTACTTTAGTTTTTATCTATTTAAAACCTATACAAAGATGCTTATCGGTACAGATAATATATATATCTGCATACAACATACATATGTTACGACGCTAAAAAGATTTTTAATATAATGCGGTTGCATTATATTAATAAAAAAAATCCTGCGGGCGTGCAATTTAGTTTTATAATAATAATTAATAATAATATTTTCTAACTATTATATAAATCTTGATATTTGCACTCACTATCAATTACAGTAGAACTTAGAAGACATAATTATTAAGCGTTAAAATTCAACCCCTTAAGGAGTCATGTTTCATTAGGTATCAAATTAAATAAAAGTTGTGAGAAAAGAAAGGATAGGAATTGGGTGAAATCTAATCATTTTTAAAAATAGGTTGCTAAATATGATGAAGTTGGGTAGGAAATACCTAATAGTAATATATTATAGAAGTTCTTATTAATAGCAATGTGGTCGCATATTACGCATACGGGATGTATTTGTATAAATTTAATTATTGCTAAGTATTCCATACTGCCATTAAATGTTTAAGTGGCTGGAGATGTCCTCAATTTTCTCTATAAATAGACGTCTGTGCATTTGCTCCTGCCTGCAACATGCTCCTTATATTATATTTAGTGTGTCTTATTTACATTAGATACCTAACAGTTATGTGTATAATTTAAACTTTAAAGCTATTTCTTCCATGTCCATTCTAATGTCACTGCTGATTGCACTCAGAACATAAAAAAAAAATAAGCGAAAAAGCAGCGATATTCATAAATTCTTAATAATGTGATTTACAAATTACTTATGAAGTTGAGGATAATTCTGATTCATTTTTAACAGGAAATATGTCACGGTCAGTTCGCCTGTTTATAACTTTAATGATTCTTGACCTATCTGAGATAACGTTTTTATTCGCCTAAGGGTGGAATAATTACTTTTAAGTGATATTGAAGTTGGTGTAGCTTTTTTTAGTAAAAATAATTTAGAGTTCCGTATTCAAAACTTAGAGAAAAAGAAAGACCTAGAATCTACGCTAGGTACCTACCTAGGAGAAACGAAAGCTGAGATACTACGAGTAGTATCTCTCTATTCGTAGGAAGAGATTTATAGATACCTTCATTACAGTAATATGAATTATCACTATTATTTATCGTACTAACTATCAAGTAAAAGAACAAATTATGAAAAAAAAAATGAAATGTAAATTGGGCGTTATGGGCTACAGAAACGCTTTCATATAAAGTTCTATTTAAATTCGTAAGTATGTGACGAAAATATATTGTTTGGCGAATTTCATCCTGAATATAATATTTACGCAATAAAAGTTTGTTTATTCTTTACATCTAAAATTTAATTTTAAAGTATTTAATTCCAAAAATTATTTTCAGTAGTTTCTAAAATGTTTATATCCTGCATATTTTTAGGCTCTTTTAAAATAATAATTAATGCTACTTAAAAACAAAAGTAACAGATACGTCATTAATAGATAATTGATAGCTAATTTACTTATTTGCATAGAACTCTGAAAAATCTAATAAAACGCACCGATAACAATGTATAGGTTTGTCAGTACATATTATAATCTAACAATCATCGTTGTAAGTTATCGCTCTAATGTCAGTGTTGAGTAAAGTTTATTGAATATTTTTGGTGGTAATTTTCATATGTGTTAGTTTTAATTTCATAAAACGTTTTTTTTTATTTCACTACAAAATTTTAGATATATGCTGTCTACTCTAAGGTATGCATATTATATAAATTTTTCAAATATTCTAAGAGTACCAGGGTAGGAAGCTCTTTGCTGAATAACAAAAATAATTTTATAGATACAGTAGTTTCACTAATTATTTTATATTTTAAACGTTAATTTTAGGTATTTAAAAAAAATAATGATTTATTTAAGCTTTGTAAAATTTATATTAAACGTGCTATTTCAAGTATTGATCGACGGAAACAAAGGCAGATTTAGGACATGTTTGAGTCTGATCGCTAGGCGACAAATTACTTTCATATTGTTACAGTAGAACACCAATATATCAATATTAGAAGAATACCTTTAAAAATTGGTTTGTTTTATAATTTTTTAATTGTTATTTTTAGTTTTTTAATTTACAATACAAGTAACAGTGAATATTTATTATAAGTAACGCTGGATATAGAGAGCTAAATATTGCTTTATACATATATTATACGTAATATTTCTACTATTAAATATATATCAATATAACTATCACAATAACTTTGATGTACTTATATATATCGTTTTTCTAACATTTAATTATACAGTAAAAAAAACATTTCAGAGAATGGGTCCTTTCATGAATTATTGAGTCAGCGCTATATCGGGACGCAAGCCGCCCACTTAAAATTCAGAGCTTCTTTGTTCCCTCTAAAGACAGATAATTAAACCTTTCTCTTCATTTATACATTTTATTGATGTATAAATATTACTGTCTTTGCTAAATCGCCTTTGAAAACGATATTCATAGTTATTTATAAATATCATCGTACATTCGGTTACTTAGATATTGTTTCTAAGCAACGCTTTTCATGAAAGTACTCATATCTGTAAAGCTACCTGAAAGCTTGTAACTTTCTTTCATCTTTCTTTTTTCTGACGTTTTTGGTAGTGTAATAGAGATGCAATATAATCTTTAGACAAAAATATGTGAAGTTAATAATGCGATGGGAATTGGGGCTATTAAAGATATTAGGTAAAAACTAAAAGTATCGGATTTGCGTAGGTAACAAAAAAGGAACAATGCGTACGGCAGTAGGTAATGTGAGCCTCAACGCGACGGGTTGTGCGCTCCTTTTCGTAGAGAAAAGGAAATCTCTCAAGCTTAATACGAATCATGAAAAATATTTCGTGCTTATAGATTATTTATAATCAACTCTCAATGGCGGACGTAAATTTTTTATTGCAATTAGTGTTTATCTTTCGAATGTTTCCAAAAGTGCCGACACATTAAACACTATGGAAGGGATATGGCTGGACCGCTCACACTGCCACCTTTGCCACAACCAAGATACCTTCCGTTGTACTTACATCCGTATCGTAATAAAAGGTTAAAAAAATTAATCATGAAATATCCCTATATTTTCGATTTATATATGATTGTATGATGTATACCATAATAGTTCCAGTGCTGTTATCATGATTCCAATTGTAAAAAATATTATTTATTAAAAGTAGTTTAGTTTCGTCGACTATAGGATTTAAAAAAATATATATAATATATATAAGAATAGAAAATAATAGAATATAGAAAAATTGAAAAAAGAAGACATACCCTTTAAATTTAAATAACTATAAATTCTAAATTTTTATTATAAGCTAAAATTTGATAAATGAATATGAAAATTTTTATTTTATGTGTTGTCAAAATAAGAGATTAATTATAAAGAATGTAACATCATAAGTTATTTATTTAGGAAGAATGATTATGATCATAAATATTTTACTTTTTATTTACCTACTTAAAATTTTATTTTTTATTTACTTATTTAAGATATATGTATATTGTGAATAATAAGGAGTGAAAATTGTTTTTGACTAAACGATTTTTTTCCTATCGTAAAAAATTACAAAACCTTATTATAAGAAAAAAAAATTTTATTCTTTCCAATTTGAAATTTATAATTTGTCTCTAAAATGTTTTAAAAAAACTTTATAATTAATTAGTATATACAATATATGTATATCGTCCAAATTAAATAACTTTTAAATATACTGACCTAATCAGTTTGTAGTGACCCTACTTTATATGCCAGCGGTCGCGGGTTCGAGTCCCGCTCATTTGTGTGATGACGAATGTTTGTACTACAGTCATGGGTGTTTATATTTATAATATGTATGTATTTAAAAGTTATGTATGTGTAGTGTATCAACTATCTGGTATCCATAACACAAGCCTCGTAGCTTACCATGGAACTAGTTGGCGCTGTGTGTTAATGTACCAACATATTAAAACATATTAATAATCATAATATATTTTGACAGGCGTCACCGCTGCCCACACAACGATGTCCCGGAGCCATTGTTCGATGTGGAGCACACTACGAGCGTGGTTTCCGCGTACAAACAAGATTATGACGAAAAACATGTCAGTCGCACAACAGCTGTTTATCAAGAAGATCATTTGAGACTTGAGGGTGATTTCCAAGAACCAGAGCGTCCTCGGTGGCAACCTGTTGAACGACCCAAGCCTTCGAAGCCTGAAGACAATCTCAAGCCTGAAGGTGATTTTGAAAAGAGACGCCCTGAAGAATGGCGTCCGGGCGAAAGAGCTCCTGTTCGAAAGCCGGAAGACAATCTTAAGCCTGAGGGAGACTTCGAAAAGCGAAGACCAGAGGAGTGGCGCCCTGGCGACCGGGCACCTACTCGTCGCCCTGAAGATAATCTTAAGCCCGAAGGTGAATTTGCTACTCCAGAAAAAGAGCCCTGGCGTCCAGCAGAACGTCAGAAGCCTCATAAACCTGAAGATAATTTAAGACCTGAAGGGGAGTTTGAAAGACGCACACCTGAGGAATGGCGGCCTGGAGATAGAGCACCTGTAAGGCGTCCACAAGACAATTTAAAACCAGAGGGTGATTTTGAAGACAGGAGGCCTGAAGATTGGAGACCAGGCGATCGAGCCCCGGTAAGACGGCCAGTAGATAATTTAAAACCGGAAGGAGATTTCGAGAAACGACGACCACAAGAGTGGCAACCTGGTGATAGAGCACCCACTCGTCGTCCTGAGGATAATCTTAGACCTGAAGGAGAATTTACAAGTCCTGAAAAAGAACCTTGGCGTCCAGCTGAAAGGCAGAAACCAAAAAGGCCAGAAGACAATTTGCGTCCAGAAGGTGATTTTGTAAAACGCAAACCTGATCAATGGCGTCCCGGAGATAGAGCAACTGTTCGTAAGCCTGAAGATAATTTAAAACCAGAGGGTGACTTTGAGGGTAGGCGACCAGAAGAATGGAGACCTGGTGATCGAGCTCCAGTAAAACGTCCAGAAGATAATTTAAAACCAGAAGGGGAATTTTCTACCCCTGAAAAACAACCCTGGCGCCCTGCTGAACGGCAAAAGCCAACAAAACCAGAAGACAATTTGCACCCTGAAGGAGAATTTGAAAAACGAAAACCAGAAGAATGGCGCCCTGGTGATAGAGCACCTGTAAAGCGCCCACAGGATAATTTAAAACCAGAGGGTGATTTTGAAGACAGGAGGCCGGAAGAATGGAGACCAGGCGACCGAGCTCCAATTAAACGGCCAGAAGATAATTTAAAACCGGAAGGAGATTTTGAGAAACGCCGTCCTCAAGAGTGGCAACCTGGTGATAGAGCACCTACTCGTCGGCCTGTGGACAATCTTAGGCCAGAAGGAGAATTTACAAGTCCTGAAAAAGAACCTTGGCGTCCAGCTGAACGACCAAAACAGAAGAAGCCAGAAGACAATTTGAAACCAGAGGGTGAATTTGAAGGAAGAAAACCACAAAAATGGCAACCTGGTGAAAGAGAACCAGTAAGACGTCCAGAGGATAATCTTAAACCTGAGGGTGAATTTACTACTCCTGAAAAGGAGGACTGGAAACCTGCCGAAAGACCTCAGCAAAAAAGACCGCAAGATAATTTAAAACCCGAAGGAGAGTTCACAACATCAAGGACCACAACTGAAGATTACAAAGTAGTTACAGGAGAAAGAGCTGATATTGTGCGACGTACGGATAATATCATAACAGAAGGAGAATTTATAGGTAATTATCTTAATATATTTTAATTTTTTATTTATTTTATACTCCTATTTAGTTCACAACCAATTAATATGATTCCAACGTTAGAAAAATCATAGAAAAGTATCTCTGTTCCACCGCGGAATACACTGACTAGAATACAACTTTCATCCCATGACTTTGTCACCTAGTTAGGTAGGACTGACTAATGTTTCATTGCTCAGCATGGGCACTCCTCCACGACATTGTGGTGTTGTTGGATTTTACTTGTTTCTCGAAAACTAGTTAGGTTCTCGTAGACATGCAAGTTTTCTTTTGATCTTTTGCTTCGTCGTACTAGTAAGTGTTACTGATATTAAAAAATAATTTGTTAAAAGATAAGTTCTGTGGCACAAGACCTGGGGATTGAACCTGCTTCATTTGGTATTCTACGAGAGCCTATTATTGCCTAACAACCAGAAGTAGTACCACTAATTTATTTATATATATATATATTTTTACTATATGATCAGATATGTTTATGTTAGTTATGATTTATACTCAGAGATGTGCATCTTTATTTATAGTTTTAATTAGTATTGTACAAATATTTACAGATACAACCACCACACGTTCTGCGTATACAATAAAACCAGTTGAAAGGCCAAAACCAGTTCGACGTAATACTTGGACTAAAATTGAAGGAGATATGATAACGGAAACGACATCCCAATCGGAATATATAGATTATACAGATACAGTTGAACGAACTACATTAATAACACGAAAAACAGATAATCTAATACGTGAAGGTGAAATAGATTTTATTACTTCAAATCAAAAAGATTTTACAGAGAAAAGTTCAATTGTTGAACGTCCTCAGCGACGCAGAACATGGACAAAAGAAGATTTTGATAAATTTTACTCTTCTGAAGATGTTGAAACAATTACGACAACACAGGAAGAATATAGAACTTACGAAGATGATCGGCCGAAACGGCCAAAGCAAAAGAAGCCTGAAGATAATTTGCGACCTGAAGGTGAATTTACAACGCCAGAAAAAGAAAAATGGCGTCCAGCTGAACGACCTGTTCAAAAGAAACCAAAGGATAATCTGAAACCGGAAGGCGAATTTGAACAATACACACCTGACGAATGGCGCCCTGCTGAAAAGCAAATTCCCAAAAAGCCAAGAGATAATTTAAAACCTGAAGGTGACTTTGAAAGTCCTGTAAAAGAAGAGTGGAGACCTGCAGATCGTCCAAAGGCTAAAAAACCTGAAGATAATCTTAAACCAGAAGGTGAATTTGAGACACCCATTCATGAAGAATGGCGGCCTGCCGAGCGCCGGAAACAAACGAAGCCTGAGGATAACCTGCGTCCAGAAGGTGAATTTACAACACCTGAAAAAGAAAAATGGCGCCCAGCAGAAAGACCTGTTCAAAAGAAACCCAAAGACAATCTTAAACCAGAAGGGGAGTTTGACCAACACAGACCTGACGAATGGCGTCCTGCTGAAAGACAAACTCCTAAAAAACCGAAAGATAATTTAAAACCTGAAGGTGATTTTGAGAGTCCTGTAAAAGAAGAGTGGAGACCTGCAGATCGTCCAAAAGCTAAAAAACCTGAAGATAATCTTAAACCAGAAGGTGAATTTGAAACACCGAAACATGAAGAATGGCGTCCTGCAGAACGTCCAAAACAAAGGAAGCCTGAAGATAATTTGCGGCCGGAAGGTGAATTTTCAATGCCAGAAAAAGAAAAGTGGCGTCCAGCTGAACGACCTGTTCAAAGGAAACCTAAGGATAATCTTAAACCTGAAGGCGAATTTGAACAATACACACCTGACGAATGGCGCCCGGCTGAAAAGCAAACTCCCAAAAAGCCCAAAGATAATTTAAAACCTGAAGGTGAATTCGAAAGTCCATTAAAAGAAGAGTGGCAACCCGCAGATCGTCCAAAGGCTAAAAAACCTGAAGATAATCTTAAACCAGAAGGTGAATTTGAGACACCAATTCATGAAGAATGGCGGCCTGCAGAACGCAGGAAACAAACGAAGCCTGAGGATAATCTGCGTCCAGAAGGTGAATTTACAACACCTGATAAAGAAAAATGGCGCCCAGCAGAAAGACCTGTTCAAAAGAAACCTAAGGACAACCTTAAACCAGAAGGGGAGTTTGAACAACACAGACCTGACGAATGGCGTCCTGCTGAAAGGCAAACTCCTAAAAAACCGAAAGATAATTTAAAACCTGAAGGTGATTTTGAGAGTCCTGTAAAAGAAGAGTGGAGACCTGCAGATCGTCCAAAGGCTAAAAAACCTGAAGATAATCTTAAACCAGAAGGTGAATTTGAGACACCAATTCATGAAGAATGGCGGCCTGCAGAACGCAGGAAACAAACGAAGCCTGAGGATAATCTGCGTCCAGAAGGTGAATTTACAACACCTGACAAAGAAAAATGGCGCCCAGCAGAAAGACCTGTTCAAAAGAAACCTAAGGACAACCTTAAACCAGAAGGGGAGTTTGAACAACACAGACCTGACGAATGGCGTCCTGCTGAAAGGCAAACTCCTAAAAAACCGAAAGATAATTTAAAACCTGAAGGTGATTTTGAGAGTCCTGTAAAACAAGAGTGGAGACCTGTAGATCGTCCAAAGGCTAAAAAGCCTGAAGATAATCTCAAACCAGAAGGTGAATTTGAAACACCGAAACACGAAGAATGGCGTCCTGCAGAACGACCTGTTCAAAGGAAACCTAAGGATAATCTTAAACCGGAAGGCGAATTTGAACAATACACACCGGACGAATGGCGCCCTGCTGAAAAGCAAACTCCCAAAAAGCCTAAAGATAATTTAAAACCTGAAGGTGAATTCGAAAGTCCATTAAAAGAAGAGTGGCGACCTGCAGATCGTCCAAAGGCTAAAAAACCTGAAGATAATCTGAAACCAGAAGGTGAATTTGAGACACCAATTCATGAAGAATGGCGGCCTGCAGAACGTCGTAAACAAACAAAGCCGGAGGATAATTTGCGTCCAGAAGGTGAATTTACAACACCTGACAAAGAAAAATGGCGCCCAGCAGAAAGACCTGTTCAAAAGAAACCTAAGGACAACCTTAAACCAGAAGGGGAGTTTGAACAACACAGACCTGACGAATGGCGTCCAGCTGAAAGACCTAAACCTAAAAAACCTCATGATAATTTACGACCAGAAGGAGAATTTGAACAAAGAAAACCTGAAGAGTGGCATCCAGCAGAACGTCCTATTCAAAGAAAGCCAAAGGACAATCTTAAACCTGAAGGAGATTTTGAACAAACAAAACCTGAAGAATGGCGTCCTGCTGACAGACAAACGCCTAAAAAGCCTAAAGATAATCTTAAGCCGGAAGGGGACTTTGAAGCACCAAAACACGAAGAATGGCGTCCCGCGGAAAGACCTAAGCAAATAAAACCAGAGGATAACCTACGTCCTGAAGGTGAATTTGAGAAAAGAAAACCTGATGAATGGCGTCCGGGTGACCGAGCTCCTGTACGTCGGCCTCATGATAATTTAAAACCGGAGGGCGAATTTACGACCCCTGAAAAAGAACAGTGGCGCCCAGCTGAGCGTCCAAGGCAAAAGAAACCTGAAGACAACCTCAAACCTGAGGGTGATTTTGAGCAACCTAAATATCAAGAATGGCGTCCCGCTGAACGGCCTAAGCCTAAAAAACCTCATGATAATTTACGTCCAGAAGGAGAATTTGAAAAACGTCAACCAGAAGAATGGCGTCCTGGCGATAGAGCTCCCGTTCATCGTCCAGACGACAACCTACGTCCCGAAGGTGAGTTTACAACACCTGAAAAAACTAAATGGCAGCCTGCAGAAAGACCAAGTCAAAAGAAACCAAAAGACAACCTTAAGCCTGAAGGAGAATTCGAGCAACCAAAATCTGACGAATGGCGTCCAGCTGAAAGGCAAAAACCGAAAAGGCCTCAAGACAATTTAAAACCAGAAGGTGATTTTGAAACACCCAAGAGAGAAAAATGGCAACCTGCAGAGAAACCTGAAATTAAGAAGCCTATTGATAATCTTAAGCCGGAAGGAGAGTTTGAAAAACCTAAACAAGACGAATGGCGACCAGCTGAACGACAAACACCCAAAAAGCCACAAGACAATCTGAAACCGGAGGGTCGCTTTGAGACGCCTAGACATGATGAATGGCGGCCAGCCGAAAAACCTGAGGTTAAAAAGCCAAAAGACAATTTAAAACCTGAAGGTGAATTTGAAAAACCAAAACATGAGGAATGGAAACCAGCTGAAAGACAGACTCCTAAAAAACCACAAGATAATTTAAAACCCGAAGGAGAAATGGAAGTCATTCGAAGAACAGATTACTCCGTTACGAAAGGTGACAGAGCTGATGTTGTTAAGCATGAAGATCATCTAAAAATGGAAGGAACTATTAATGTTCATCGCTCAAGAGATGACTACAAACGTATTGATAAAACTGAAAGGGTAATAATACAAAAACATGAAGATAATTTAAGAACAGAAGGTGAATTTATTGATTTACATATTCGTAATGACTACGGTGCTACAAAAGGTGAAAGGGCACCAGTACTAAAGCCACAAGATAATTTGAAGCCTGATGGTAAATTTTATAAGCCAGAAGTAGTCCCATCTCAACCAGCAGAAAAACGTAAACCTATTAGGCAAGTTGACAATATCACAATCGAAAGGGATATTGACGTACGTAAACAAAAAGTCGATAGGGTTGACATAATCAGAAGAGAAGATAATTTGAAGATAGAAGGTGAATTTATCGATATGAAACAAAGAAATGATTATAATGTAGTTACTGGTGATAGAACTACTATTGTAAAACACGAAGATAACCTTAAAATGGAAGGTAAAATGGAGAATATTCGCTCCTCTGACACTTATCGCGTTGTGAAAGGTCAAAGAGTTAAGTTAACTCGTAGAGAAGATAATCTTAAAATTGAAGGTGTTTTTGAAGATCATACTCGCAGAGATGACTATAAAATAAAGAAGGATGTTAAATCAGCAATTACGTATAAACCTGAAGATGATACATCGAAAGACACTACGGACCAGGTTGTTAATGGTAAAACTACCACATATAAAACCCATGAAAAGACTAATGTTGATGACAGGACATCGGTTTCTAGGCATTATACTACTAAAATTACTGAAGATGATTCAAGTTACTATACAACAAAAAACACTACAGAAGTTACAAAGAAAACTCATGGACGTTACCCACAACATATTACGCCAAAAGGTTATCCTACAGAAGAGATTGACCAATATTCGAGACCAATATTGGAGAAACCTGAAGACAGATTCAATGACTATCCAAAGGATAATCAGGATAATAGATCTGAGGAATCGCCTAGATATAAGCCAATAGAAAAACATGGAGATCAACCAGGACCAACACATAAGCCATCAGGAAAATTCGGGTATAGGCCGGGAGAAAGGCCACAGGATAGACCAGGACAGAAGCCAGAAGATAAACCAGGAGAGAGGCATGGTAATAAACCAGCGGATACACCAGAGGAGAGGCCAGGAGGGAGAACAGGAAACAAGCCGTGGGAGAGACCAGGTGATACGCCAGTACAAAGATTAGACGATGACTCATGGCCAAGAGATAAATCGGGATATAGGCCAGGAGATAAACCAGACGGAAGGGACAGACCTAGCGATAAATTCGAAGAAAGACCAGCACAAATCCGTCCGGAAGACAATTTAAAGCCCGAAGGCGAATTTGATCGGCCTAAAAGACCACAATGGCAGTCACATGAGCGTGCTAGCCCTATTCGTCCTAAAGATAATCTTTACCCTGAAGGAAGTAATGAACCTTATCCATCATCCCTCAGTAAGTCTGATTATTTACAAACAAAAGAGTTTTCACATACACTTGTAGAAGATCGAAAAACATCTCATCTTAGTCCCGAAGAAAGTAAGCGAATTCGAGAAACAGATCGTTTAACTGACGACAACAAGTATCATTCTGTTACACGTACTGATAGTTCTAAATCTTCAGACGTAACACATAAACATTCTGATCGCGATGTTAAATCCTACATTACAAAAACTATATCTGACACACACCATGACAGCACCGTGCAAAAATCTCATTCAGAGACGACACATACAAAAGTAATAGGAGTTGAGAATAAGATTTCGGAAAAGTCTCAGAAAATCACGTCTGGAGTTCATGATACTCGATCAAGTGGAGTACGGGGTGAATCACAAAATAAATCCTCTATAATTTCCTCCAAAAATATAAGCCGTGCTTCATCGCAAGATACGATTGATAGTGATATCACAGATCGTACATATAAAAGACATACTACAGAAAATAATGTTATTAATAAAAGCGATTCTAAAAATATTCAGCATTTGCCTACTACTAACAAAATAGTAAAACAAATTACTGAAAAGAAATTAATTGCTGGAAAATGGGTAAACGTGACTAGAAACGTCGAAGTTACACTCAGTTCTGACAAGGCGGGAAGTACGAACTTTAAGAATATTCATGACGGACGTACAAGCGCAGATAACAAGCAAACTAGAAGTACTGTCGGTAATATTGTATCTCAAGACCAAGTGAACGTCAATAATGACAATAAAGTACAGCAAAGCTCTACTCATACTTCTTATGTTGTTAAAGGGCAAAGTAATCTTAATCAATCAACCAACCACCTAGTCTCTGAAAAACATTTAACTAAAGAAACTGGCCATGTATCCTCACAAAAAATAATAAATTCAGAACAACACTTATCATCTTTAAATCAAGCAGAACATTCTCAACAGCACAGTCATGTGTCCTCCGATGTTCGTTCTCATCAGAGTACACATAATGCAACTCATGGAGTAAGTCGAGTCGAACAGAATACATTTGTATCTACTCAAGCCAATAATAGACAAACGCAAAGACAAATCACTGGCGATCATATTCATAGAAAACAAGTGATTACGGAATCGCCTATTCAACCAATTCGAGAAACAGATCGTTTAACTGACGACAGCAAATATCATTCTGATACACGTACTGATAGTTCTAAATCTTCAGACGTAACACATAAACATTCTGATCGTGATGTTAAATCCTACATTACAAAAACTATATCTGACACACACCATGACAGCACCGTGCAAAAATCTCATTCAGAGACGACACATACAAAAGTAATAGGAACTGAGAATAAGATTTCGGAAAAGTCTCAGAAAATCACGTCTGGAGTTCATGATACCCGATCAAGTGGAGTACGGGGTGATTCACAAAATAAATCCTCTATAATTTCCTCCAAAAATATAAACCGTGCTTCATCGCAAGATACGATTGATAGTGATATCACAGATCGCTCATATAAAAGACATTCTACAGAAAATAATGTTATTAATAAAAGCGATTCTAAAAATATTCAGCATTTGCCTACTACTAACAAAATAGTAAAACAAATTACTGAAAAGAAATTAATTGGTGGAAATTGGGTAAACGTGACTAGAAACGTCGAAGTTACAGTTAGTTCCGAGAAGTCAGGAGGTACGAACTTTAAGAATATCACTGATGGACGTACAAGCGTAGATAACAAGCAAACTAGAAGTACTGTCGGTAATATTGTATCTGAAAATCAAGTGAACGTGATTAATGACAATAAAGTACAAAGCTCTACTCATACTTCTTATGTTGTTAAAGGGCGAAGTAATGATTTCAACCAATCAACTAATCTGATTACGGAATCGCCTATTCAACATATAACATCTCAAAGTGTAGATGATCAACATAATCGTAATACACAATCTAGTGAGCGTCACGTGCAACATTCCATGGGATCAACAACGAATGTATCTAAAGCAAGCCATGTTGAACAAAATATATCTAAGGTGTCTTCTGTCCATCAATCACACAGTATAAACCGAAATCAATTAAGTGATAGTGTGACCAAGACAAGTATAGAATTCCAAAGAGCCATGCACGGCGGAGGTGATGTTCCAATTTCATCAGCAGAACAGGCCACACGTAGTGGACACCACAAGCGTACATCAGATCTAATATCTGACATGTCTAGCACCAATGCAGTGCTCCACAGGAAAGGCGTGTCTTCGACAACAGAGGCCCAACACTCTATCAGTTCTACTGCAGCTGCACAACGTAAGAGCATAACGAACCTTAATGAGCGCGGAGAGTATATAAGTAATTCATCACATAGCGCTGATAGAAAAAGTATAAGCTCCATGCATCGATCTGGGCGTGATCATTCATCTGTGATTTCACAACATACTGAAAATACTGATATTCGACGTCAGCAAAAGCGTGATGGTCAGTCTACTATGGTTATAGACCGACAACCTCGTGTCGTTGTTCGAGATAATCTTCGGGTTGGTGGTGAGTTTTATGGACAATCTGAGGCTCGCTCGTATGGTAATTTTTCAAGATCTAATCATATAGAAAAATCTGACAGAAATGAACGTGTGGAAAAAACTGAACGTCATGTTAGACACGGTACTACATCGCACTTCGTTTTAGGAGACGGTGGCACAAGCTATAAACGCGAATATACGGCTCACGTCCACGGAACTTGTCCGGCTACGTTGATTGAATCTCCGCGTACGCCGTTTAAGCACACTCGAGATTCTCGTGAGCACAAGTTTTATACTGCAAAAATGAACCAACAGAAATCTTAATAAGTTTAATAACTAAAAATAAGCGTATCATTCCGTATTTGCTCGAGCTATGGAACCGAATGAATACAAGTTCGTATCTAATATTTTTTACAAGCTAACTTAACTTACATTGCTAGTCTAAAAATTGTTACGTGCCTTTTATTAAACCTTATGTACGCATAATATTACTTCATACATATACTATAATAATTGTAACATTAAAATTTAAATGTATTTATAATTTATCAAATATTGCCATGTAATAAATGTTTATTATTATTTTCATACTTTTATTTAAAATCCTTTTAGTTTATAATAATGTAACTAAGTATTTAAAATATTTCCTTTTTCTATTCGGTTTTAGTTCTTAACTCACTGAATTTAGAATTTTTAGTTTTTATATTAATTATCTATCTATACCCATGGATTAGAAAACCGATTTAAAAAACATAATGTTGTTAAAATAAAATTCCAGTAATATGATTATAAAAGTATAATGGCAACGAGTAATGATAAACGAGATAACATTTATAATATGAGGAATAAGAGGTCAAGTGAAAAAATGATGACAGTTGGAGCGAAAGGTAGAGCTACTAAATTGATAATACAGATAATAATTTTAGTTTAGCTCCTAGGTAATGGATTAAGATAAATAGTTGTATAACATCTAGAAATTTCTATTGTGGCCGCACTGCTCATGGACCCCGAGCCTTCAGCAGCTGTATGACTAAAAATATTATGGTTATTTTTTTTAACTTTGTCTACAAGACAACTAAAAGACTCACAACTATTATTTATTTAGTTACTATATTGAAAGTTTTATTATGTGTACATGTATTTGATCGTTGAGCAAAACTTGTACAGTTTTTTTGAAACACGGAATTCTCCCTAACTGTTTATCGATTTATACAATTGTTTTTCATGAATAGATTATTCTCAAGAAATTAAAGTCTAAAGGCTCTAAAGGTGTAAATTCTTTTAAATGAATTTCAGTAGTATTCCTTTTGTGTTAAAAAATGATTTTAACAGCTAACATAGGTATTAGATGTTTTTAATTAAAGATATATTCTAGTATAATATTTTATTAAAATATTAAATATATAATTCATAATTAGTTATCTGAAAGAACTAAACTATTAATTATAAGAAAAGTTTTATAAATATTTAAGATTATTTTGATAAAACATTTTTAACCCGTTTTATTCGTTTAGACCTATTAAGAAGACCTTATTCAGAGTTGTGTGAAATAGTTCCAAAAGATTCTTCTCCTTGATATTGAGGAGTATCTATAGAATTATCTGATCTTGAATTACTTTCGTTATCTATAAGCGTTATTGTACGACCACTTCGAATCAACTTCTCGTTGTTTTTTTCATCTTCAGTGTTTTCGTTAAGCCTCTTATTTCTAATTTTACTATTGTACATAATATTATCACCTACTACTTCATCGTTCGATAGTATACTATCCGTATCAGAGCCAATATTAGATTGGTCTGTTTCAACTGTAACTAATTCTGAATTATCGTTTAAGCCTGACTTGAGACGCAGCACAGTGGTTTTATCCAAAATAGAGTCTTTGTTTCGTTTTATTTGTGGATCATCTCTTACGTTTACGTCAGCATGATTTAAGAAGCTTTTATCTTCAAATTCACTTACCTCAACGTTTTCGGGCTCGTTATGCTCAAATACTGGAACAAAAGGTACTTTATCATTTATTAAAGGAGGCAAATCCCGTTTCTTAACTCTGTGTTTTAATTCCGTGCGCTTAACACGTATCAAAGGCTCTGAATTTAAATTGACATCTTCGTAACCATAAGCGCTAGGAAATGAGTCTTCTAGAGATTTAATAGAATCTGCGTCTGCGAAGGAATTGTCTTGTAATACTTCCCGTTTTTGCGTATTACTGCTATCAGTTTCCGAATCCAACCAATCCTTATTGTCCGAACATAAAACATCATGATCAATAAATGAATCATAAGACCCCTTGTAATTTAAATCGTCTCCTAATTTCGTATCCTCTAATAATCCATCCTTTTTATCTAAATCTAAATTAATTTCTCTTTTGTTATCATTTTTAGATGTTTCTTTATTTACAACATTAGCATCGTTTCTCGTATCTGTATTTGAAGTTACAGCTTCAATGCTAACCTCAAATGTTTGTTCGTTTGTGTTAGCATTCAGTCCAGCTTTGTTTTCAGATTTTCCTGTATCATTCTCATTGTCTTGAGGTTTTGTGCTCGATTCTTCACTTTCACTGTGTTTTATTGTGTCAGATGTATCGGTATTAGACGAAAGACTTGAAACAGTATTGGAATCTATTGAATAGCTGCCTTCAAGTTTGCTTGTGTCTAAGCCGTTGTCGTCAACAGCGCCAGCTTTTTTCGTGATTTCTCTTTTATCCATAATTTTTCTTAAAAGAGCTTTTTTATCTTCTGGAAGAGAATTCAGTAGGTTTTCTAAATCTTTGTCAGATAACATTTTAATATTTTTCAGGATTGAAATTTCACTACTTTCATTTATATCTTTGTTATTTTCTTTAGAATTAATGCTTTGGATTTCACGTCGATCTCTTGTGTTACATGAATTGTCATATTTTCTTCTATCAATTATGTCCTTATTTCTTGTTTGTGAGGTACTATAATATTGTTTAATAGAGCTAGGTCGTTCATTACTATCTAAATGCTCATTATTATAATCTCTTCCATCCCGTCTCCTATAGATATCTCTTCCCTCTAATCTCTGGTTTTCACGTAACTCCTCATTTGTCTCTGCTTCTTTATTTATATCATTATGATATGTCTTTGGTACCCCGCTCTGTACTGAAAATCCATTTTCATTTTCTACATTTAAATTAATTTGATCTTGTCTTGGTTTTTTTCCATCATCAAACTCAGCATCTGAAAGCTATAACAGCAAAATGTCAAATAAAAGGAATTTAAAAAAATGTTTTTCAATATACTATTAATATATATTTATAATATACTAGTAGAATCCGCGGCTTCGCTCTCGCTAATCTACAAAAAATCTCTGAAAGTTTCACACAAACTTTCATCCCCTATTTTACCACCGTTTAAGATGAATTTCGAACAATACTAATACAAAACACGTATTTATTTAATTTTATTGAAGAGCATTAATACCAAGTTTCAATTAATTCTGATCATAAATATTTTTTTGAATTGTATTAAAACGTATTTTGGCGTGGGAATTAGATAAACTCCCGCGGTAAAAACTAGCCTATGCCACTCTCCAGCCTTACAACTATCTCCACACAAAAAATCACGCCAATCCGTCACTCTGTTTCGACATGAAAGAAGGATAAACAAACAAACAAACACATTTTCAAGTTTATAATATTATTATGGATTATATCAAATTTTCCTGATATTGATATTTTATAGTTATTTATTTCTTAACTCATTTAACGAAACGCTATCATATTTAGGTAGGAAAAAACTTTTACTTGTTCGACAATACAACTCATCACCGGTCACTTCGTGAGATCTAGTAGGTCAAACAATCTCGTTGCGTTCAACAATGTTTATATACCGTGAAGTTAATAAATGTATACTTACTTTATATCTTGCTTTATTTTGATCGACACGCTCTTCTCGGATGTTATGATTAAACTCTTGAAGTTCTTGTTGCATTCGCTCTTGGTTAACAGATCTTCTTTGAGCCTAGGGCAATGACAATTTGGCTATAGTGTACAGATAATTAAAAAATAAAATTAAAAATTTTAATTAACCCTCGATACAAAAACCACGGGTAGGTATATTTTTTCATTGATTACCAATTTCACCCCTATGTCTAGATGGGCTGAATTGATTTTGATAAAACATGTCTAATTGTAATATAAACATCATGCGCTTTCATTTGACACAGCATTTGAGTATATTTGAAAATATTCGATTTTGCGAACCCATTTTCATCCTCCATATCTAGTAAATGGTTGCAACGATTTTGATAAAACATGTCTAACAACCATCGCTAAGGAACCAGCTTTCAAATAAAAATAACCGCATCCAAATCGGTTCACTTGTTTAATAGCTACGGTGCCACAGACAGACACACACACACACATAGCGGTCAAACTTATAACTACCCTCTTCTTGCGTCATGGGTTAAGTTAACAAAGTTATTTTACTTTATAATGATTTGTCCCATAGGCATAACAGTTAACACTAATTTTTATGGTACCTCATCATTAGCGGATTCTTGGTCTTCGCTAAGATATTCATCTTGCTTTGAATCGTCGCTACCTTCATATTCTGCGTCACTAGTTTCACTAAAACATTTTAATTATAGTGGTTGCGGGAATTTAATATTTATCTTCTATGTTAATATTTTATATAGTAAATAGTACCAGAACATATATACTAATCAATAAATATATTACGATTTCCTTATGTGCGATATAAATAAAAATAATATATATGCACATAAATCATATTATAATATTGTTAATGAATTTTGTTAACAGTGTTTAAATTTAACCTGTCGTTTCCTTCAACTGTTGGCCTACTGGAGATGATCACGGAGAAATATCCACATACTAAAAATATTATAAAAACACGCATTTTGTAACTAAAGAAGTATGCAAAGGAAGATTGTTAGCATAAAAGTATTCGTATTATTTAATATGTCATCTACTACCTACTTTTTTATGAACGGCCAGCTTCGCATTTAGCATTATTAAAAAAATAAAGTAATTATTAAAAAAAACTATAATAAAAAGACATAAGAAATGTTATAAATAAAAAAATATATAAAATAAACGATGTTAAGATGAAAAGATTGAGAATCTCATTATAATCCAGTGTATTATAAGTTTGAGGGCATTTTTATACACTGTCATTAAATCTTCAATTTGTATCTATAGTTATAACAATTTCTGTAATAGGTATAGCTCACAGTTAAGTATACATTTTTGATTTGAATAAAAATATACTTTTAATATCAATTATTACTTATTTATAAAGATACAATTTTATTGATATTTGTCCATTACTTTCCAAATGAAGTGCAATCAAACAGGAAGACAGAAAATAAAGCGATTTATTTCACTCTCAATTTTTTTTAATTCGTTATAATTTTACATGTTTAGATTTAGACGTTAAAAAAAATTGACAACGCCAAAACAAAATTTATGGTGTAATCAAAATTTATTTTAAAATATATCCGAAAATAACATTAAAAATTTAAGTGCAAAAAAAAAATCGAAAGACAACCAACTTCCGCGACACCATTCAGACAAAGAGAGACAATAGCATTCCCAATGAGGGTTGACGTCAGGCAGGCGGCCGGTCGTAAAACTTTTGTCGAATCCTTTCAGCAGTACAGAAGATGTACTGCGCCGACCACAACTGTTTGGGAAAAGGGCAGGGAGAAAAAGATGTATAGACATACAAATCAAAATATACTTTACTAGCGACTCACCCTCGTTGCGCACGGGCTCGACCCTCAGTATAGTTTAACGGGTAGTATGGAATAGATAGACTGATGATGATGTTCTCCTAGCCGATTCCGGCCACGGCGGCCAATCTCATTGAGACTAGCCAACTGCGCAGGAGATATTATAGTGCAGCGCCTGTACGCGCAGACACAACGTACACTCTCTATTCCTGTCACTCTCATACTCCGGTGGGACGACACGAGACACGACCGGTGAAAGTGTCGGCGCAGGACCGACGGCTTTACGTGCTCTCCGAAGCAGGGGGGTGACACACCGCCAACTTCCCAACTCCGGGCTGTTACTGATACTATACAGAAATACTCAATAACTAAACTTGGTCCGACCCGGGACTCGAACTCAGGACCTCCGAGTGTGCAACCGTATGATATATAGCCTTATAGCGTTCTTCAATAAATGGGCTATCTAGGGTTTTTTTTTTCAAATCGGATTAGTGGTTCCTGAGATAGCCCGTTCAAACTTTTAAACAAACAAACAAATTCTGCTTCTTTATAATATTAGTATAGATTCAAAATAGAATTTTACAAGCACTTTCGAATCGTCATTTTTTTACAATTTCAAAATTAAAATTGTCAGTATGTTCGTAAGGAATCTACCATACACCCATACAGGTGAGGATATAGTTCACGATAAAGTCGACACGGCACGTACCTGGCTGGTAGTTACTGCATCTAAGATGCAATTTCCAATCCACCCCACTATAATTGTGTTTCAGTTTTGGCGGAAAGGAAAGTAGTTACTTACCATGTGCTACGCATTTTAAAAAGAAATCTTGACAAAACATCAATATTTTCTTGTAAAAAGAATAGATAAAATTACAGAGAAGTGGTATTTTCTGTTGAATAAATATGGCCGTTGAGGAAACAAAAACAAACGAAATCGCAAGTACTTACAACAATTTTATTTTAATGAGACCGTTTCATCTCTATCACACTTATTATGTACATTTGGTTTAAATAAAACAAACCATTGAACCATTTAACTGCAAAATTTTCAATAAGTTTGTGCATATTTGAGAAAAAACATTTATGTCTTACATTTAATGTCATACAAATCGATCAAATAGATTAAAAGAGTGTAGAAATACACAATCACACGTCTTGGTGTTTCGTTGCCTCCAAAATATGTTGGGAGCACCAATACCGGCATCTTGCATAATTGTAGAGTCGCTGTCTAACTCGAGTCCTACACAGAACAATCGGGCTCTACATTTGCTACTTTGTTCTATGAAAGACGAATTTCCAGCACTTAGTTACAAATATTATTAAAAATTCCAAATACACGCCCAATTCATACGTAGGAGTTACAACAACACTATGTCAATATGAACGTATCACTCTTGTCACATCCTCCGCAATAGCCTTTTTGTCCGAGATGCAAAAGGTATAAAATTTTAAATATTATAATTAAACAATGTATCATAAAATACATTTCAATTTATATTTGTCTAGAAACAATAGAAATTGATATAAATAAAGGCTATTTTTTTAAGTAACTTATTGAAATTCTGAAATAATTCCTTTACATTTTTGGCAAAGTAACTATTGGTATCAAAATTTCGAACATAATGGGATTCGAACCCCTCATTCACTTGGGTATATTGTTTAGATATTTGCAGTTTCGTTGCGTAAAAAAATAAAAGCTGGCAGTTTGTTATTTTGTTTGAATCCGCATTCAGCTAGCTATGTATTGGGCTTAAGGTTACTGTGACCTTTGCTAAAAGGTCTTGCAAATATCAATGCTTAAAGGTTTTTCTGTATATAATAAATAAAAATATATACATAGACCCTATAAATTTTAGAATTTCTCATATAGTAAAAGGTAGCCCGAAGCCCAAGCTGAGCAAACATGAATATAATATGATGTACGTAACTCGAAAGTTCAAATCCCCAAACTATGAAACGACGTAGAGGACTCCATATAAAAATAAAATTTATCTTTACTCTCAACTAATGAATGGAACCGTGAGGAGCGAACGAAAACTCATTATTGCCAACACGAGGCAGTTTGGAATGTGTTTGTGTAAACATGGTGTTGACGTAATTATTTAAAAGACACTATTTTTCTCAATGAAGAATGATAATAATAATTTAAAAAAAGCTTTCAAACTTTTAAACAGAGCTTCAAATTCATTTTTAAACAAAACTTGTCTAGAAATGTAATATTGTCGAAATCAAAAGTAACAAATATAAATAGAATATAACAGTAATTTATATTGCACCTAATTAATACAATTAATATTAGAGTAAATTGGCAATAATTTCAGTTTTCGCTCGCGTTTAACCGGTGCTGGTCGTATAATGTACAAAGATAGGAAATGATAACATGATAAGAAATAAAAACTTACATCCGATTAGGCTTCACTATGATTTATCTTGTGCTTATTTCCTTTATCACATATATAACATTTATACCTACATCTGTCATACAGTACATTTAGGTGGAATTTGGTATGTCCAAACAAACAGTGACGATTGGTAGTGATAAGTTAACTCTAAGTGGAATAGTTGAAAAATACCTCATTATCTATGATTTAAACAAAACTATGATATAATATTTTCTTAGATTTACGCGAATATTTGACATGTTAAATAAAATTATCTTTTCGAATTTTTTCGCGGATTTATTTTGATTTTTGATTCTCGACGACATTTCAAATGATTTATAACAATCATAGGCACTTGAGAGATATGATCGCTGTAAAGCATTCGAAATGTAGGGAATCAAAAACAAAATAAACCCGCCAAAAAATTCGAAAATCTAGTTTTATTTAAAACTATGGCAAATAAGTTTAGTACTAACCAATTGTTTGCTTACAAATATTACTTGTAAAAGTAATACTTTTTGCCCCAGACTTCTCTTGCGCTTTAAGTGGTGCTAAAAGATAAGATATAAAATATATTATATATGTCTCCATAGAGAAATTTTATTTTTTATATTATAATTTCATCAAATTTCATTAAGTCGTTTGCAATGTAAAAAAAGTAACAAGCACTCACACTTTTTTCGTTTATTAAATACGACGGAGAATAAAAAATTAACGTAGTAATTAATATAAAGTTATAATGGTATCATTTCAGTGCAATATTATCTTTATTTTTTATTATTATAAAGTAGAGCTAACTTATCACTTTCAATCAACGATTCTCATATATATTTATAATAATAAATACACATTCATAGAAAACATTAGATACATAGCTATCTAAAAACATTTTTGGATAGAACTCGTCGTGTTCAACAGTTAAAGCACATTGAAAAATAATTCAATTTGACATACATACATACATACATATATACAAATATTGTGTTAGTGTGCGCTAGTTAGATATACATGTTTTAGATAAAAAACAATAATATATGTACATATCAGATGATAATATATTAAAATGAATTAAAATTTTAAACTCCATATATTGCTTACTTATAAATATTTGTAATTGGCATATTGAATTGAAAATTGTACTACTTTTATAATATACTTAAAATATATTTGCACAATAGAATTAAAATGTATATATTGACTAGCGACTTTTTCTGTTTTACAAAAATTATATATATACATGATATCGGCTGGAAGACGAGAAGAATAAAATCGCATTATACAATCTATATATTGTATTAACCAACGGACAGACAGACACGTATTAATATTTAATAATTATATTTATATTTACAAATATTCATAAGTAAACGCTTACATTAAACCATAACCGAGTCGAATAAAATCTGTACATAAACGAACAAACACATCGATACAGACGCAGAACGGGTTTTATTACATTTGGTACTCATATATAACTCGATGACTAGACTCTTAAAACATAATAAAATGAGCATTAACAAAAAACACGTTACTACAGAGTCACTGCACTCGTAACATACTCGCATCTTTGAAATCTAGTTCAAGTATAATCTGTTCATATCCCATAGCTTGGCAATGTCTCTCCATATTAAAGACGTACCGCCTACTAATAAATAAATAAACATCTAATACATTTTTATTAAATATTTTTTTTCAATTCAATTTTCTCGTTGATGGCTGTAAAGTTATTTTTTAGATAGTTTCAGGTCTCTGTATCCGTGAAGTCTGACATATTTAGTAAATTAAAAAAATAATAATCAGCCCTACGTCATGTATTTGCTTGAAAGCCGATACAAATAAATAATTAAATATGTTGGGATATTAACATACAGCACCACCTAGTTCCATGGTAAGCTACGAGGCTTGTGTTATGGATACCAGATAGTTGATACACTACACATATATAACTTTTAAATACAGACATATTATAAATATAAACACCCATGACTGGAGTACAAACATTCGTGTTCATAACACAAATCAATGCCCCCAGCGGGACTCGAACCCGCGACCGCTGGCACAGCAAGTAGGATCACTACAAACTGAGCCAAACGTGTCGTCATAGACTAGTTTTACTCATCCCAATATTTATATTGAACTCTAAATAATTAATGAACTTTAAACCCATCTTCCAAGTTGAAAAAAAATAATGTATTAGCGAATACAGCTCTCGCTTTTGATATGCTTGTGATAGATCCTCACAGTGACAACGTACCGGCGGCTCTACGGTTTTGTTACGTAAAACCTAAGTGTTATTGGCTGTCTGCTCGTTCATCATTTAGTACCATAAAAAAAAGATATACAGTAAATTGTAATCAAAATTCAAAAGCCAGACAAAGAGCCTCGTTATGACATATAAATAGAATATTATATTCAATTCATAAATGTAATTACGAGTGCAGTGATAGCTAAAAACTAAATATTCCGAAACTTAAACACTATAAAGTTTAACTTCAGTTGTAGTTCTACTACTGTGAAAATGCAAATATTCGTCGACATCTATGCGTTACAGACATGGAAACGTACTGATATGTTATAAAAGTCCACGAGATTATTATATATGTGAATAACACGAAACCTGTCATTTGTAGACCTTTACACGTTTTTTTTTTAATTTGCCATAATAATAATAATTAAAAAAACAGGATATATACTTAATTAGCAAAAGCTAAAACAGTTACCTTTCGGTCTTTATAACTTCTTAAAAAAGAAGTTATTTCATATCACATTAAATTCGGATTTCGCTCCACTAGACATAGAATGATTTTGACATTAAACATACACAAATGTACGACGTACGTATAAAAATACATACAACGTACCAGGGCAGCATAACATATCAGCACGTCTCCATTTAATACAGAATTTTGTTTAATATATATATATTATATATAGTCAAATACATCAGCTCTCATTGCTAAATTGACCTCCACACGAGTGTCGCGACCGCACGCACATACATAGATATGTTCGCGACAAAAGCTTATTAAAATCTTCATTGACAACTTTATTTACAAATCTTAAAATACATTTCATTTGAATACATACAAAATAGGGGAACGGAGAGCGCGTCACGTCACATCACGTGTCACGTGACCGGCGCCGTGACGCGTCACGTCACAGTGACGTGACGTGCGCGTCACGTGCGCGTCACGCTCACAAGCCTGTGCTAAACAATTGTTTATTTAAAGTTGTGGTAAATCGTAATCTAGTAAGAATTATTCGGATTGAGGTTCAGTCAACGCTTGAGCAATCGTTGAGAGAAGGATATAAAAAATGGAGAGAATTATATCTTTAATAACTTTAGAAAAAACACAACCGCGTCAACGATTGTTAAAACGAAACGATCGCTTCCAACTAGCATGCAACATTAGCGTTTTAAATGCAACTCTATAAAGTGAACACTTTTAAGTTTTATGTACAAAAGAGTCGACCGTGGCGGCCTCACGTAGAACGGTGAAGTCTGAATCGAATCCGAGATAAATCCTCTAATGATATTCGAGTACATATTCACAATACTTATTCTTTAAAAAAAAGGGTAACTGTACACAAATCGATAAATCGTTCATCATTTAGAAAATCTAACAGTAAGTCTAAACATACGGTCCGTTCGATATAATATGAACATGAGTAAAACATTTGAAACCACAATGAACACTGGCACTCGACAGACGGAGCGCGCCGGGAATGTCGCGTGTCACTACCTAGTACCTACACTCGTATTCACTAACTCAGACTTGATAATTGTCATGGTCGGTCCGGCACTACAAGTGGTCGAGGCGGTCGAGGCGGTCGAGGTGGTCGAGGCGGTCGAGATGGTCGAGGCGGTCGAGGCGATCGAGGCGGTCGAGGCGAAACTCGTGCTCGACGGCGGAGTCGGGCAGCAGCGCGCTGGGCTCCTCGAGGAGCGTGAGGTCGTCGAGGTCGAGGCCGGCGCGCAGTTGCGCCTCCTCGCCGCCGAATATGCCCGGGTCCAGTTCCCCTGAATAATCTATTGTATTTTGTTTTTGTTATATTTTATTATCTTCACAAATAATTAAAATTATATAAATGTTTAAAATGAATAAATATTGTAAGGTATGTCACCTGTCAATATGATATCTGGTATGGATGCCGGCGTGGCGGGCGTGGGCGGCTGCTGCGGTGACGCCAGCGGCTGCAGCGCGGGGAAGGCGCCGCCGCCCGCCACCGGGTCGCGCGCGCGCCGCGGCTCCGGCGCCGGCGACATGTGGCCGTGACCGCCGTGACCGTGACCGTGTCCGCTGTGCGCGTGGCCGGTATGACCGCCGTGTGACGACTGTTTTGACCGAATGGAAGATTAGTATTATTACCATACTCCAATATGGTATTTAAATATAGCACTTCATATTAGCTTTGCTGTGAATATTTGTGACACCTTAGAACTATTATAATTTAATTTCAAGTAAAATTGAAATGCCAATGCCAGATTAAACAAGAGTTTTAAAGCTATTTACGAGATCTTTACTGATGTATTAGTAGCCGTTTAAAACGCGAGCAGGGCCACGAGTTAAAGTAAAAGATAAATAGATAAAAACAAATTATATATATATATATATATATATATATATATATATATATATTTTTTTTTTAAATAGGCTTACCTGAGAGTACGTGTGCGTTGAGTTTGTCGTTTGCTGTGAGTGCGGTGAACTGTGGTTGATGTACGTTGTGTTGTAGGTCGAAGTAGGAGCGTCCAGCTGTCACAATGAAAATTACTATAAAATATAATAATATCGAGTAAAATACGCAAAATAAATATGTAAAGCTAAAATATAATTATAATAAAAATGTTCTAATCCTGGTATAAACCACAAGACGGCACATCAACTATGTATATAAGAAACCGTAAGCTGACAACAAAAAAAAATGATTCATGTAATTAAAATGATTGTTAAAATTAATTATTACAAATAGGAAAACGTGGCATGCGATGTTTTTCAAAATGACATATTTAAAAGTCAAATTCATGCTAGTGCTTCGCAAAACTTTTAAATAACGTTCCAAGTTTAGAACGTATACAAAAATACTTTGGGCTAAGTGAAGCAAGTAAATTAAATCGTGCTAGGCATGCCGATCGAAATAATGATAACTTTAATAACTAAATAGAACATCTAAGACGCTGAAAGCTATAAATAGTACCATAGATTTTTATAAACATAATTATCTTCTTTAAATCTAAATTATAAATTAAACAAATACGTCATGTTTAATCTAACAAAACTGTAGTACTATCACAAGCGGCATGTAAAACGAAATGTGGCATAAGTAAAGATTGAAATTCATTTCTTTTTACTTGCAAAATCAATATCTAACTGTGCATTTACAGGAATTATTTAAATTAAAAAAAAAAGTGCGTCGGATCTATATTTTCGGCTTTTGTCTGATTGTGAGCAATAGAGGAAATCGTTTTTAATAAATGCTTTTTAAAAACACTATCATCATCATGGTCAAAGTTGGATATAAGACAGGATATTTTTAATTCATGAGGTCAAATTACTTTTAAAAATTTTTTTTTAATAAAGTAGGTACTTTTTCTTATTATATTAATATATTAAATTCATGGCCACAGTAAAAATATATTTCTTGACTAAAATTAAATATTTAAAAAATATTTAAATACACATATTAAAATACTAAATCGTTTTTGTAAGTCTTAAATAAGCCTCGACATATGGTCGATTTTTCTTAATTCCATTTATCTTAATAAAAATTAAATTTACAATCAACGCTATGTATTCAAAGTTAAGTTTAACCTAAAACTTTATATACCTAACACTGTTACATTTACGCGAATACTTGACATTATCATATACATACATATTAGGGATGCGCCGAATATGGGTTCAACCGAATACGAATATTCGGTCCAAAATGTACCGAACCGAACATTCGGCCGAATTACGTAGTAAGCGTGTTAATACATGTCGGTATTTCTGATAACAGCGGTGCAGTAAATGTACAAAAACTAACTTTTCTTTGTCGGAAAACAAATATTTATTTAAGTATATTAAGCACTGAATTTTGTTGATGTTTTAAATATTTATGTTATTTCAATTTGTCAATAAATTATGGTTATGCAAGGTAGCACGTCTTTCATAGTATACTTACAATATGTATTTCAAAGTATGAAGCCTTTTTTAATTTTTGAAATAATTATAAATCTTAATTACTATTAAAATATTCGGTAATTATTCGGCATTTTAAACGAATATTCGGCCGAATACGAACACAAAAAAAACACCAAACATACCGAATACGAATATTCGGCCAAACATTTGGCGCATCTCTGAATACATATCTATTTTACACAATTGTTAAAACCGTTGATATTTCAAATAAATGTTTATTAAATACATCACATATCTTACATATTATCTTGCATGCTTTAGCAGCAGTTTCGTATAGTGAATCAATATTTAAACTCTAAAGTATTAAACGGAGCTATACATGTACGTTATAGGTGATTACAATGTAGCCAACTTAAGCGTTTTCTCTCAAATTTAGGGGTAAAAAATTGCACCGGGGGTAATTTTAGGGGGAAAAAATTGTTTAAGGTTTTTTTTATTTAATAGCATGACTTAAAAATAAATAAAGTTTTATAAAATTTCGTTGAAAGTCTTGGAAAAATCATATATCTTTAAATATCATTTGCATCATTTATCCTTTTTTTAATATTTTCTGAGTCATCTATAAAATCCATAATTATAAGATTATTAAATACTTATAAGTTTTTAAGCTACTTGTAAACATTTAAAACAAAAAAAAGTATTAGATATTGCATTGCCTGTATTTTTCAAATTGTCAGTTAGGGGTTTTTGAAATTACTCCTAGGGGGATAAAATTTGAAAACAACACCAGCTCGCAATCAGACACGAGCCGCTACGTAACGAGTAACTACAGTATCGCATGACATAGGCGTGGCGTACATTTTCCGCGACCTGTACGTGCGCGGTCCAGCCCGACTCCACGAGACTCTGCACCAGCTGCGCCCAATCCTTGGCCAACCAACATCCACCATTGTTACACATACAATACTTTACATTTATATATAATGCGCACACACAACCACGCGTATAGCGTTGCTATTTGTTATATTGGCTTATATGTTTGGCCAACACGACAGGCAGTGCTGGAGGTACACTAGGGGCACTCAGGGCTAGTGCCCGAGGGCGGCAAATTTTTAGGCGCGGCAAAATTCGGAGGGCGGGAAAAAAATTCTTCGCGTTATCGAAAATGCTCTTTTTATTTTCAAAAATTAAAAATAAAACTAGATTTTTTTTCAAAAAAATAATAATTAAAACAATTCAAACTGTCAATATTTTATTCAAAATTTTGATAATAGGGCATTGTTTAATATGCCCAGGAGCAGCGCTATGCTTAAATCGACGACGACGACAGGTAAAAACAAATTGTATAGAGCGGATAATGTTAATATAAAAAGATTTAGCACTGAACGAATCCAAATATATTCATTGTGTGATCACTTAATGACATATCATTTTAAAACAAAATTATTAACAAGAATCAACTAATTAGTACGTGGCTAATATACAAATCTATAATTCCTTATTTCACAATAGATATTTTTACTCTTAATTCATATATTTGGAGTAATTTGCCTAAACTCATAGTTATTATCATAAGTCATTTTTTTAAAATAAAATTATTTTTACTATCACTAACTCTTTTATTTTCTGGTTCAGGGGAAATAGAAATTTCAAATTATTTTAATTCTCGCTTTGTAAGATTAATGAATATCCTCATCATCTAAAATTAGTATACATAGTTAGATTTGATATACTATAAGCTCATATGACAAATAGTAACTTTATATTGTGGTTGATAGCACAAATATTATTATCATGAACGAATTAGGCGAATAAATCAATGCAACACCGATCACAATAATTACTAATGACGCATACATTTATATTTGTAGAAGAAAATAAATTCATTTCATCAAACATTTATTTGCCCATTCCTAGTATATAATTATAATCTAATTTACATATATATATTTAGTCTGACTTGTCTAAATGTGCATTTTTTACGATATTTAAGTGCGCAAATCTATGCTCTCAAGTGTTCCCTTGTCTTTCAACTGCGAGTGCGAAAATTCACTAAATATGTATTATGTTCTTAGTCTGCCATATCGTTTTGATTTTATGAATATTCTATTCTATTTTATTATATCAGTAAAAAGCCACGTTTATCCGTCTTAGATCTAAAATTACTCACAACTCCTTGCTATCCATTGAAGCATTGAAATATTATAAATCATGAATTATAACATAAATGCAAGTGTAAGTTTACTTGCACTTATCTTGCAATTTTAAAGTATATAACTAACACAGGTTCTCATCAGGTTTATTTTTTAATTAAACTTTCAATAATTAGGTTATATGTGTTTATTTTTGATTGATGTTTAAAAAAATATGAGAACAGATAAATAATCCTGTAAAACACACTATGTCCTTATATTAAAAAAAACTTATCAATGTAAAAAGAATAATAATCATATATCCCAAATTTTACAATTTTACTTATAGTTGATATGTTTGAACTGCGTATTAATAGATGGCGCTGTTTGCATTTTTCTATAGCTTTCAGCAATGCATTACCTATCGTCTTTTTAGGCAAAACAATATAACCTTAAAAATAGCCTCCAATTATGGTACTCCAATTTTTTCGTATGGGGTATTTGTATTATTTATATAGTATGACCGCGGTAACCCCACTTTTTCATTGTATTATCGACGCTTAACGCTCACGTATCACATACACACGAGATAAAATATTTTTATAATATCTTTTCATTTTTGCGATACTGTTAATTTGAAACTATATACACTAAAGATGGAATAGAACCTTAAAAGGCACAAACAAAGAATTTTTGATGATTTAGTAAGACGCACGTATAATGCAAATGTTCGATATTGTTTTTTAAGTCATCTAATATTTCTCCCAATTAATGTATATCTATATATTTTAGACTTATTTGAAATTTTGTACAAAACAAAATATACCCGTTCTATATAACGGTAACTAATATATTTCTTGAATTTGAAGTAAAATTTATTCCAAAAAAATAACTCGCATAGTACGTAAGCAATATTACAAAAATCTTGGGACGCGAGGTGTTTATAATAATATCGACAATTACGTTAAAGGTTTCGAAGGTCATTACTTTTATTCTATACTCATCGTTTCCCCTTATTAAAATAGTTTTAGCTATTGCGAAAAGTATAACGTTTTATATACGAGATAACTATAATGCTCTCATTATAATACCCTGTCTCATTGGCATTTAAAAATCTCTGTTAAAACAGAGATTTTTAAATGCCAATTTAAATTATTGTCACTCTAAAGAGTGACAATAATAAAGAGTATTTTAATACTAGTATAAAACTAAATATAACATAAGCATACCATTGTGATTTGCTCGAACGGTTGTAAGAGTGCTTGGTGTAGGTAGTCCGTATTCTGCGGAGATTCCACGGGACTGCCGGGACTGTGTACCATCTGAAATACATATAAGGAAAATACATTTTAAATGTAAACCTATACGATATTAGGAACAAATTAGACAAATCTAATATATAAAATTCTCGTTTCATAATGTTTGTAACAAAACTCTTCCGAAACGGCTTGACTGATTCTTATGAAATTTTGTGTGTATATTCAGTATGTCTGAGAATAGAACGTAAACTATGTTTCATACCCCTGAGTGATGGGGGTGGTCCACCCTATCGCTAGTATCTAAATTTAGTGAACAGATAAAAAATGATCTGGAAGCCTAGGGGCAAAATTTAAATTTACACTAAAATATGATAAATTTGAAAGTGTTTGTTTGTGTGTCCTTCTGTCACGCTGACACGGACCAACGGATTGACGTGATTTTTTGCATGGATATAGTTAGAGGAGAGTGCAATTTTTATCACGGGACAATCTATTCAAGTGGGAAAACATGTTAGAATAAAACTCATAGATTCAATTGATATGGTTTTCCCTATAGATATAGTCGGATGACTTAAAAGTGACATTATATTATATAGATCCTTCTATATACCTACGGCCAAACGAGAGCAAACCAAAAGGGTGAGTTACTTGTCTAATAGAAATATTACAATAATTGCGATAAATGAATGGATCATGATTACTTACTGTGGGTGAAGGTATGTTTATATTTGACGTGGACGAATATTGGGAGGGCGGACTACAGTGCGACTGGTAATTCGACGTCATCCAGCTATGGTCTAATGGGGACATGTTCTGTAATAAGAGAGAATATAAAAAATATACTATTAAATATTTGTAGACTAAGCGTGAAAACAGCGTAATAAAGATATATGCCTTGTTTAAATATGATTTATTATAAAAGAAACCAATAACTATTTTTTATAGTTTTAATATTTGAATCATAATTTGTAATATTTATTAATATATTTATGTCATATTTATATTCTTGTGCCGTACGATATGTAAATTAAATTATATTACAATTTTAATAACATACCAATAATACATGCAATTATGTAAAAAATTAACAATTTATTAAAACAAAATAAATTAATAATTTTAAGTTTATATTAGCAGGAATTATATTTAATTATACAAAATTTAAAGAAGGCAAACAAACATCGTTTTCATTACACAGCTTTCATGCAGTTAGAATTGATATGAAGCGGAAGGATTATTTGCATAGCCGTTTGACGAAATGGTCCAATTTCATTGGCGTTGTTGTATCCCAGCGAAGAGCGACGAGATATTACATGCTGTTTATATAGCATGTTTTAAAATTAAGCAAACTTTATATAAATAATAAATTAAAATAATAATAATTAATATATATTTTTTGGTCGGGTTATATTCTGGCGTTATATACTCTTGGCCTGTTAACTTTACCGATATTTGTAGAACAAAATGACAATTTAGATAAATAATTGATAAAAAAATCATTAAAAAATGTTAAAAAATAGTTGATAGCATAATATATTATTTACACCTTAAATTATTGAAACATTTGCTCTTAAAAATAATTTGTAGAAAACAAAATACCCACTGAAGAGACGTTTCTTATAAAATACATGACATAAAGCTTAGTAAGTAGTAGTAATGTTGAAATAAAATTCTCATTTTTATCTTCATCATGCCCATAACCCATAAAATGTTGGCAGGAATATATATTTATATTTACAAAAAAAATATATTTACTCTAATTTTATAGTAACCTCAGACTAAGGAATAGTATAGACGGAGTGCCATAAAAATAAACATGAAGACTGATTGTGAAAATTAATAAATCGTAATAAATAAAAATAGCTAACGAATTTTATTATAATAAAAAAAATAAATTAAAAAAGCTAATATTATAATATATAATATAAGAACTAATGCTTAAAGAATACAAAATAATATAGTATTATTTTATTATTCATATTTTATTCTGTAGAATTGTATATTAATTTAACTAATATCTACATAAAATTTCCCTTATTTTTTAAAGAAAAACGTACTATATGGTAAAATCGAGAATAGTAGCATATGCGACAATTTCTGACTTTGTCATTTATTTTGACGGACTCCTTCTATATAAATCTTTAGTCTGAGTTAATAGCACACATATTTGTTAAATAAAACCAATTCGGCAATGATCGATGATTAAGAATTAAGCATAAATTTTGACAAATTGAAAATCATCGAAGATTCATTTGAATGCAAAGCCGAGACATTTAACATGCAAGTTATATAAAAATATAAGATTAATAATAATCAAAAAACCTTGTGAAATATGTTAGTAGTTGAATGCGTAGTACCATCGAGAGGTTAAACGTTTGGCGTTAGATAGCGTCATAAGCACCGAAGCGGAAGTATTCGAAATTGATGGTAAATTATTAAAAAGGTTACAAAAGAAAACGAACCTTATTATGATGGAGATAATTATTTGTGTTTGGTACAGATAAGTGATTCTGAAATAAACAAAAAACATGAACGTCTTGAAAGCAAATAAACACAACAAAAATATAACAACGAAAATGTTAAAACACCTAGCGGGAGATTTGTGCTAACGTCCCTATTGCGGCTATTCTAGTCATACTAAATCATTTTATCGCACTTTCCTTTCAAAACGCAGTAAAAGCATTATTTACAAAAATGCGCTACTCTTTCAAATTTTAATATATAAGTCACCATTACGCAAACCATTAATAAGCGTTGAAGTAAGAAATTATTATATGGACTAAACAATACAGTACAAATATTATTAGCCTCACATAAGACAGGACTATACAAAGTAGCTGACGACACAAAATTTCTAAACGTGTAACACCTAGTGCTTGCACAGTAAATACCCTATTACTTTTTTAATTAAATCAAGCTCTAATAATAAGAGCAACTAGAGTATGCATCTATTAAGCGAAATGGCAAAATCCGTTCATGTGTAATAAATAGCTGCTATACACGTAACATCACTCATTTTGATGCTTAAATTAGATTTTTAGATAGATATTTTTAAATATTGGCGATACTTACGAGTATATTTAACAATAATTGTAATGAATACATATACAGTCAGTAAACATATTATGTATAGATACAATATGATAAAATAATAATATGACCCGTGAAAAGATCGAACACGAATTCCAAGTAGAAAATATCGTATAATTCTACTAGCTTCTCGTCCCTACGTATGTTTTAACGATTAGTATGAATATAATACGCATGTATTATACATGTAAACCTTCATCTTGAATCACTCTATTTATTGCTGAAAACTGCATTAGAATCCGTTGCGTAGTTTAAAAGATCTAAACGTACAAACAGCGGGAGCGACTTTGTTTTATACTATACTAGCGGCTCACCCTCGCTTCGCTCGAGTTCGTCGCTAGGTACGTTTAGAATAGATATAAATAGTTATTAGCCAGCGTTAGCCATATAAATTTTTATTTTTTCGTTAATTTTTCATTTTTTCTCTTTATTAAAATCTTCCGTGGATCTTATGGAACATACGAAAAAAATCAGCCGAATTGGTCCAGCCATTCTTGATTTATGCGCTTACCAATATTCATTATTGTTTATATAGATATAGATGCAATTTTACTTTCAATTTTATTTGTATTGCCAACATTAATTTAAATTTGATTATATATAATTTATAATCCAATTATGATATAATATTAAAGAGAGATACAGTAAATTAACTGCGTGCCTTGAATGTAGAAACGTTAAAATATTTACGTGACCTGATTGGATAATAACAAACCACGACATCAATCAATCAGCCGATTAATGAAATAATATAATTTTCCGATATTTTTGGTTTGAATGTATAAATGTATTTGTTTACAAAATGTTTGGATTTTCTACGCCTGAATTACGTTCAATTCGTTTTTCATGGTGAATTAAAATTGAAAATAGGATCTTAGACGATTATTATATGTTATTAGTGATTGAACACGTTTATTATAAAATATCACTTTCATTCGAAACAATGTATTGAACAAAAGAAACAAAATATTTTTATTAGTTTTTTGATATTTTTTCTTATAACTTTTTGATATTTTTTCTGTCATTTGAAATAAGTTATTAATTACAAAATTGATTCAAAAAAATCAAAAATGGCATCAACATATCTTAAAATATTTGTTAATTTTAAACATTTTTATATAATTTTAATAAGTTTCATAATTGAATATAGAATCATTAATTCATTGGAATATGGAACCATGAATGCCTTTTGTTATTTTGTGGGTAGGCTGTCTGTAACAACTATATAATGCCTTTGAGACATCTAACACCTCAGTCTCTCCCGTGACCATGATTGCTGTAAAGCATATAGCAAAAATCTAAATAAATCCGCGGAAAAATCCGAAAAGATAGTTTTATTTAAAACATTTATATCTATAATAATATAAAAAGGCTAACTTTTACGTCAAATTCCAACTAAATTCATACATTTTGATAGACTATAGAAGTAAACAACACGATTGCAATTATTGAAAGCTATTAATATTAAATAATATATCACTATTAAAGTCCTTCTACCTTCCACTTTCCTATACGCCTTAAACGCGTAATTCCTATACGCCCTAAACGCGTATCTTATGTCTATTATTAAAAATATATATAACTAAAACGCTCCTCCCAACCTTAAACTTCAACTTTATAATAAGGCTTCCTCTTAAACATAACTTACGACTATAATTCCATAAATTAAAAATCAATAAATAAGAACAGCTTCCGGCTCTTAAAACCCTAAAACTAATGTGTATTTCACGACTATAATTTCAAATTTAAAAATAAATCCTATTCATTTCAGGCACCCAAATAAGCCTCTAAAAACCCTATAACGAAATCCTCTCTTAAGCCATTACTCACGTCACAGAGGCTATCATATCTTTTGTGTTGACAAAAGCCTAAAATAAGTTATACATACCCATTGCTTAATATTAATGATTGTTATGTATCATAATAAGATTATATATATTATATTATATGTAAATAATAATTACAGTACGGGAATTAAACTGACTGATGTCTGCCTGTGACCACGGCTGGTGCAATCCAGTCGAAACGATATTATGGTATATAGCCAATAACGAATTCACACGTTTAAGTCCCATACTGTAATAATAATCTATACAGATAAATAAAATTGGAGTGCGTTTGTGATGTCAAAATAATAGCTTTTTACTAAATGCATATGGAATTATATACGATATTTAGGTATAAGAAAAACACAATTTTTTAAAATTTTGTCTATCTGTCTGTTTGTTTCGGCTAATCTCCGAAACGGCTGGGCCGATTTTGACGGGACTCTCACTGGCAGATAGTCGATGTTATAAAGAGTAGCTTGGCTACTTTTATTTCAGTAAAAGAATTAGGGTTCCGCTCAAAAAAATTAGAACGTACCTACGGACGAACCCGAGCGAAACGAGGGTGAGTCGCTAGTCGTAATATATGTCTGTTTTTATAAGTAATATGACTATATTATTACACTCGACTGAGTGTGTATGTTGTTCGGTCGAATGATAACATCGGCAGTAGACGGTACCTGCGTGTCGTAGAGCGCGTGGTCGTGGTGCATGGCGGCGAGCGGCGCCGGCACGGTGGCGCCGACGGGCGAGCCCGACGCCGGCGACAGGCCGCCCGTGGCCGGCGACGCGCTGCCGCCGCCCGGCGACGTCGGCGACTGCCGGCGGATTCGGTATACTTTCTTACGTTTACGCAGACATCGAAAAACTACTATAATCTACTAGTGAGAAAATAGCGCACGAGTCGTCGAGTGCGACGACAGGTAAAGGTGTATTCGATGTGGATTAAAATTTCAATTTAAATATATTTCATTATATTCAAATGTATAATGGTAATATAAAGATATTATGATAATAAATTTATTTTGATTTTAGATAATTAATCAATTCAATTATCTCATATCAAAATAAAGTCATTAATAATATATTTATTAATTACTTAAAAATACATAAATTACTCATCTTTATCCGCTATGAATTATAGATCCAGTTTTATTATTACGAATAGATGAGGTATTCATCTTTAAAATTTATTATACATATCGCACAAATGAGAAAAACTGTTTCTTACGAAAGTCTGCCTTCAAGTGGTAATTGTGAAATTTGACTTTATAATTTTATGCAACCTAATTGGTCGGGGGGCGTGCCTAGGCCGGTGGACACCGAAGACTCACTATTTCCTTAACGCGAATGACCTATAAATACACAATCCAATACAAAAGTCCTCTTAGAACTGTCACCGGTTGTGTTTAGGTAATTATTATAAATGAAATAAATATACAAAAAATTAAATTGAACCTTAAATCTAGTTCCATGATAAGTTACGAGACCTGTGTTATGGATACATACCAGATAGTTGATACACTACCCACATACATATAACTTTAAATACATACATACATATAAACAACCATGACTATAAATATAAACAACCATGACTGGAGTACAAACATTCGTGCTCATCACACAAATGAATGCCCCCAGCGGGACTTGAATCCGCGACCGCTAGTACAGCAAGTAGGGTCACTACAAACTGAGCCAAACATGTCGAAATCTTCTTGAAATAGACAATATTATTGATACAGAAGCCGAATCTATAGTTTTTAGAATTTTTGTTTGCCTGTCTGTCTGTTACCGCATCACGGAAAAACCACTGGAGGGATTTTGATGAAATTTGGTATGATTGTAGCTGGTTATCCGGGTCAACATAAAGAATACTTTTTACTGTGAGAAAATATATCATCTCTGAGAAATCTATACTAAACGTTAAAACGTAACTAGGAACGAACCCGTGAGTCGCTAGTACAAGTATAAGTAATGACTCACGTATCTCGGCTGGTAGTCCGGCGAGGTCCGATGCGGCAGGTAGTGGGGCGGCGGGAAGTGCACCGACGTGAGGTCCGGTAGGGAACCTCCTGGTACTTGGAAGTCGCAGCTGAGACCCCCCGCGCCTCCCGCGTTGCCCCCGTGACCTCCACCTGGACCTCCCCCTCCCCCTCCTCCCCCGTCCCCTCCACTCTCGTATACACTGTAACAAGTGTTTATGCATTTATTTAAAGATAACTAACATGACATAAAGTAAGTAAAATAAACAACAATATTAACAATTGTAAATGCAGGTCAAAATCTAACAGTTGCCATATTAAATGGTAACCATGACATGCATAGACAGTTATATTGAGCTTGAGATGAGGGTAGGTTTAAGCAAAATAAGCCGAAATAAAATAAATACTTATATCTATATGTAAACAATGTAATGGATAGAAATTGTTCGTTAAAATAAAGTTTGAAGAATTCGTAATATTGTTTAGACTGAATCAACAGTTTTAGTCTCTATTTGTTTCTCATAATACGTCACACGAAAAAGACCATACTAAATACAATGGGTAAATTGATTGAAAATTATAGTTTAATCGTCGTACTAAGATTATTATTTATCTACTTGTAGTAATTAACATAGGAAATAATATAAGAGTCAAAATTAAATCTAAAAATATTATAAAGTTAACACGTCTCGTCGTACATTAGTCAACGAACGTGACCAAAATATGATTATTATGATGTAAATAATTTCAATTGTGTACCACATTAATTGTATCTGTCAAAACGTCATGTGTATTTATAATAAGTAAATTTTGATTTTTGGATACAAATTAAGCAACGAAAAACGGAAATAATTTAGAATTTAAGTAAGCGCAGTGCCGGTTTTATCTTTTAAGAGCATAGCATATATAGCATGTTTTATTAAAAATTTCAGTATGTCTATAGTGTTTTGAAGTATTTTTATGTTAAAGAAACTATAATAAGCCTCCTCGTGGCTGAATTTGACTGTGCAGTAGACACTTTATGACAAAAGTATGTGCGTAAAACAGAAAAAGTCATTTTCTTTCTTTTACAATCTGCTCAAATCATCTGCGGAGAGATGATGCCTAAGATTTATGGCATAACAAACCCTCCGAGATACGGGAGTATAAAGCCACCCAAAATGTATAGAAATCGGTCTGATTTCGCAAATGCAAGACATACATAACATAGCCGGTAAGATCTACAGTAAATAAGAATCTATATCTATATAGAATCTATATAGTAAATAAGAGAAGAAAAAAACACTAAAAAATATACTATATATATTGAGAAAAATATAACATAAAAAAAAAAACACTTATTCGTACAGAACTGATTATGCGACTACTAATCGGCAATTGTCTATTTTTAAGAAGTTCTTCATTAATTATTCTCTTTAAAAGTTAGTACATATTTACATTTTAATTAGTGTTATATTATCGTTCTATTTTGAAAATTCTATGTTGTATCGTACATTTGCAGAATATACCCAGAATTAGATTTATTCTATCATAAAAATGCGGTATTTTTAATTTAAATACATCGATCGATCGAAGATTATATTGTTATAAAAGCAAATTCCGAATTAAAATAATTATTATAAGCGGCCAACCTTATTTGACAGAAGTAATGATTATATTTCAGTCAAATTACGTACGAATGTTACGTATTGAGTACGGGATATAGACGTTAAAAGCGATCGTATTTGAAATTTTTGTATGTTTGTGTGTACACCTGTTGTTGTTGTTAATGTTGCACGGTTTTGAAATAAATTTTGTGTAGTGATAACTTTCTACTCGGGTCAACATTTAGGATACCTTTTACTACAGGGAAATCTCTCATTCCTACAGGAAAATACAATAACTGATTCGGTCGAGATGTCCATCATACAAATAAGCAATGATTTATTGCATTGCAATTGTATAAAAAGTATTTCTAGCAGGATTAAAAATTTAAATATTTTACTATTTAGTGCGATTTTACTATTTCTCTTTTTCATGGGAAACTACAAAATTTAGTTCGGTCGCAAGACGCTCTATACTATATGTACAATGTACATAGTATAAAACAAAGTCCCTATCTGCCTCTGTCTGTTTGTCCGCTTACTTCTTCCCAACCACGCAACAGATCACTAATGGAAAGAGCGGTAAACGGGGAAGGTTTGTGTATACAATATGTAAATATGTAGGTATTTTTTACAAAATGACCGAGACTAGACGGTGTTTGGTCAAAAAAACTGTTTAAATTTAAAACGCACCTAGAGACACGAGAGTGAGTCGGTAATTAAGAATAAACAAAAAAAAAGTTTTTCAAATTCATAAATTAAACGATAATAATTTAATATAGGTGACATTTCATTAAAATATCGTTAGCAAATCAGTTCGCTACAACCGGATAATAAAATTGTCATCTAAAGCACTAAAGCACGCATTAGGTATATGGAGGAAAATCTTTTTTTTCCTGAGAAATTGTTTTTCAAGTGGAATAAACTACTATTATTTTATTGGCATGTAAAGCTTAAGTAGAATGTTATATATTTATAATCGTTCCCTTTACCATCAACCGCCTTATTGTTGTTATTTTTGACCGACTTCAAAGAACTAGGAAGACTTTAATTTAGGTTCATATTGTGTTATGTTTTCGCTAAGTATGGGCCGATATCTATGTTTTTTTATAAATTAATATCTCATCTATAGGTACATAAAATAAAATTCTGAGTCGTATCTGTACATTAAATAATTTTTGAAAAATCTCATTGAAATACTCGTAGTCATTATTACTTATTATCGATACAGAAGCCGAATTTTATAGTTTTTAGAATTTTTGACTGTCATGTCTGTCTGTGACCGCATCACGAGAAAACCACTTGATAAATTTTGATAAAATTGAGTATGATGATAGCTGATTATCCGGGTCAACATATAGGATACTTTTTACTGCGGGAAAATTTCTCATCTCTGAGAAATCTATCCTAAACGTTAAAACGTAACTAGTGGACGGAAAACGGTCGGAGCAAGTGTGAGTCGATAGTAGCATATAAATTTTAAGAAAAAAGCATCTTTGTGTATCTTTTTAGTTCCATAGTAACCATTTCATTTCAGTTCTAAGTGATCAAAATTTTTTTTTCAAATTTCATTTCAATATAAATTTTGATCCGTGTCTATTAGGTGTATACTAACGTTATTTTTTTGTGTAAATTTCTATATTATGTATTAGAAAAAAGTTAGCTCAACTTTTTATCAAGGTTCGAAACTTTAGTAAACATGTGGCGGCAGTAACTTATATTCACAACTACGTATTTAGTATTAGGTTTAAATGAGCACGAATATAATTTAAATACTTTAAATGCTACGAATAACTAATCTATACATATAATAAAATTGTAACTAAGCCGAATCTGTAGGTATATTAAATATTTTTTGGAAAATCTTATTGAAACAAACATTATTATCGATACAGAGGCCGAATCTATAGTTTTTAGAAATTTTTTTTTGTCTGTCTGTCTGTTACCGCATCACAGAAAAACTACTGGAGGGATTTTGATGAAATTAGGTATGGTCATAGCTGGTTATCCGGGTCAACATATATGATACTTTTTACCGCGGGAAAATATCTCATTTCTGAGAAAAAATACAAAAAGTGCATTGTAAGAGTATACTAATATGTAAAACCTAAGAATTTGGTTTTTGGTCATCTGAACGCGGGCGGAGCCGCGGGCAATGCTAGTCGTAAATAAAGATCAATTCAAATAACAAAAACTTATCACGAGTAAACAAATACATATGTATATTATCCTTGTTTTAACTCCATTATTATTATAGCATGTGGCTATACTAAACGTTTTTAATAGCACTAATTAATATTCCCAAACATTGTAAAGTTAATTGATCGAAGTAGGTACATGGTATTATAATGAGTCACAACTTACTTGTTATTGTTAGGTATTCTTGGTATTTCACACGAAGATCGCGGACGGTTGGTTGGATTCATTCCCAGGGTGGCTAGAACATCGAGATGAATGTTGCCAGCTGTAAATAATTTATTATAAACATTACTTATTTATGTGTATGAATAAAAAATATTTTACCTTCACATTACGAATCGTGAATTGCAAATCATGGCAGAATATTTAAAATTACGACTAACTTATAAAAAATATTGTTAACAAGAAATTAAAATACATATGTAACATAAAATCATCATAATATATTCACAGCATATTATATGTTTATGTAAATTATTTAGAACGAAGGGCCTCAATAAACTTTGTACTGTGTGGTGTGATTTCGCTGTATTTCTTTCATCCAGTTCCTAACAGAACTGAATAAAGAAATGGTAGTAGACAAGTATAAACTGTTGTTTGTTCAGTTTGCCGTGCGCAAGAGTCGAACCCGCAGTCAGAGTCAAAGGTAAGCAAGGCAATCTATAATCAAGGCTTAGATATAGTTCATCTCACCTCGTCGATGATTTTGGTGGGGGTGCAAGTGTGGGTGGGCGTGGGAATGCAGGGGGTGGTGCGGTGAGAGTGGTGGGGCCGTCGCCTGCTGCTCACCACACGACTGGTGCAACGCTGAGTCTGAGTTTGTTCTCCTCCAATTGCTGTCCGGCGGTGGACTAGAAATATATTATTCTAAATATATATAATTCTTCTGCACGTATGTTTGTTAACCTACTGCTCCTAAAGGACTGGACCGATTTGGATGAAATTTTGAGTGTATATTTCAACGGGCACCTGGATGGTTTGAAAACACAATTGGTCCCGGTAATTGGCGCAGCAGTCGGTGTGTCACTAAATTTTCATATAAGACACCATTTTCCGAGCAATTTATAAATTTAAATTGTTGATTAAATAAAATAAAAATCGATTTGTGTGTGTATGTTTCCTATGGACTCCAAAACAGCTGGAGCGATTTTGATGAAATTTTCAGGTAATCTTCAGATTAGCCCAGCGGGTGATCCTGTGAATTCTATTAGCGATCGGCAGTTTGGACGCGGGCAAAGCCGCGGGTACTGCTAGTTCTATATATATAATATATATATATAATAAAATTATAATGGTAGCTATAGATTATTATAATATAAACTAAATCAAGTGTTTAGTTACGCATCATTCGAAAATGACTAAGCAGATTATATGTCATTCTTTTATTTTCAATCAATGTTTTATTTTGTAGGTAAAAGTAAAAAGTAGAGATTTAAAGTTAGCCAAACTTCATATAAATAAGATATTTAAGACAATGGAGATTTCGAACTACATACTAAATATACAGTTTGAGCTCCCCGTTTTGGATACTTTTTCGTAAAGCGGGGATTAAGTTGTGGTATAGGTGGTTGACTACATAATATTATATACACGCGGACAAAGCAGCAGGTAATATCTAATACATTAATAATATTAACCTGTCTGTCTGCAGTCTTGTCAGGAAAGCGCAGCATTGACTATCGTCACCTCTAGCCCCTACGTCTACACTGTACAGTCGATTTATACACTTCGCACAGCGAGTCGAGTGTTATAAATCATTAGAGCTCCAAACTAAACGATCTGATCGATCAAGCAATCGTAACGCTCGCAAGCATGAAAAAGTGTCATACTAATTTACACGTAGGCCGGCCGCATATTATAAAAAAAAATTCTGTCACAAAATTCCCAAAGGAAGGCACTACGTTCACAAGTTTTGTTTAGACCCCGCATACTATCAGAATTCACATGTGTCTGACATGTCCCGATTTTGATGTATCCCGGATGCAATCGATCAGATGTCAGATTTTTCCTGAAACAAAGTCCCGGGATATGAGACCACCAACAATCAAAGTCCCGGGACGCCAAGGGATTTCAAGACTTCTCAGAACAAAATTAGTATATGCACCTAATGCGTCTTAATTGTTTTCGATTGTGACGGCCAATTTCATTGAGACTGTAGCTACTCTCTGTTTTTTTCACTCTCGTATTCCAATTTCCGGCGAAACTAGATCTCGACACGACCGGTGACAGATAAGGCGAAGGCCGACAACTCTCCGACAAAATGGGGTATAAACGATATACGCCTTAACTTCGGATTCTTATAGATTATTACGTTACAAAAAATACTAGTAACTATTTTGGCCCAACCCTGGACTTGAATCCAGGACCTTACGATCTACAGCCGTACATGCTAACTATTAGATCAATAAGACAATTTAACAATACATCCTTACGCGTAAAGGAGATCATAAAAACGTATAAAAATATTTCGGAGTAAAATAATAATTTGTTTCAAATTATTACTGCCCCTAAATGCGTCATTGCTAATAAGATCTGATTAAAATGATATGGTAATATATGTATATACATATGTATTGTGTGCTTGATGACCATAACGCTAGTAAAAGAATTAAATCATAAGTTGATGTTAATTCTTTGGATATGTTAAATAAAAATAAAATTATTATTGCGATGTCAAACGGAATATTTATCATATTTATCACTTACTAAACAACAATATTGTCAGTGACCATGAAAGTTTAAAGACTTATAAAAATCTAATTACTTACTTTTGAAAAGAAAAAGCAATAATAAAGATATTCGCAATTTCATCTTTCTCCACTAATTTATCTAATATTATTCATATATGTAATAGGTCTACGTTTCGCTTACTTTTTATAACCATTTATGAAATAATCGTTTTTAATGTTTATTTGATTAGATCAAGTGCTTCGCGAGTTAATGAATAATAGTCTGTCAGCGGAAGAAGGCATTTTCCCTATTTAAGTACTATTAGAAGCCATTAAATCCATACTAATATTATAAATGTGAAAGTGTGTTTGTGTGTTTGTCTTTCTTTCATGTCGCAACGTAGTGACAAATTGACGTGATTTTTTGTGTGGAGATAATCGGGAGGACCGGAGAGTAACATAGGCTACTTTTTACAGCGGGAAATAACCTCTTTCCCACGGGAAAACTAGTTATAATCCAACCCAAAAATAATTTATGATCACAATTACTTGAAACTTAGTATTACTCTTCAATATAATTAAATAATTACGTGTTTTAGATAATACTTTCTTAGATTTACGCTAATATTTGACATTTTAAATAAAACTATTTTTTTCGGATTATTTCGCAGATTTATTTTGATTTTTGTTTCCCGACGTTTCGGATTCAGAACACAATATAGGCGGATATCCTAGCAAATAACAAACAGTGTTTTACTAATTGCTTTGTCGTTCTCTTTAGTAAATAAAGTACTTAATTCTTATGTACGAACTAAGTAAATACGCGTAAAACTTGTGATCACCGTGCAAACTTTAAGTTAAATAATGAATAATAAAATTTGGCCAACTGTTAGTCAAACTCAAGTAATTCTAATAATAGGTTATATTATACAAGTATATTGTGTAGTCAGGTACGTTTTAACTGTTAGTATGGAATAGATACACTATATAGTATATATTATATACTAGCGACTCACCCTCGCTTTGCTCGGGCTCTTCGCTAGGTACGTTTTAGCGGTTAGTGATTCCCATACAAAATAAACATCTCTAAACTTTTCGAATTTCCAGCATTTTTTTGGCTTTTTCCTATTTTTTTATTTTTAAACCACCCCTGACATATCCCCAACAAAACAAAAAAAGAATTATTCAAATCAGTCCAACTGTTTTTGAGTTTTAGCGAGACTAACGAACAGCAATTGATTTATATATACATTATACTTAGGTATGATATACTTATGTAGGTATAATAATAAAGTTGTTGTTGGTGGTATTATAACGTCTTTTCCCGTAGGAATGAGATAATCTCCCGCGGTAGCCTATGTCATTCTCCAGCCATCCAAGTATCTCCACAAAAAAAATCACGCCAATCCATCACTCTATTTAGACGTAAACGAAAGACAGACAAACAAACAAAAACAAAATCAAAGTTAAACTGTACATCGTAGGAAGAGAAAGTGTCAAATCTACAAGTGCATTCAAGTAGTTTATATTGACTTTAAGGTTGCGTTTTTTCTCTTCATAAGAACCTTACTCGGACTTCAACGAATAAATAAAAAAAAAATTGCCGAATTGGTCCAGAGCTTTGCGCTTAGAAACACATTTAGCCATTCACGTTTAATAGATACAATTTTCTTGTAAAATTTAAAATATGAAACCGCATAAAGAAATATAAATAAACTAGCGACTCACCCTCGCGTCGCTCGGGCTTGCTGCGGCTTGCTTCCCAATACAAACTTACATCCCCATATTTACCCCTTTAAGGGGTGACTTCCGGTATAAAAAGTATCCTATGTCCTTTTAAGGTCTCAAACTATCTTCTTACCAAATTTCATCTAAATCGGTTCAGTAGTTATCGCAGTATAACCGAACAAAAAAATCGGCTCTCCATTAAATAGTATAGATTGTAAGAATATATACATTATAAGCATGTAACATACCAAGTGAAATAAACCATTTAAAAAACAAACGATTTTTTTTACATATGCTGTCATTGTTTGACGTAATAGCGTTATTCGAAAAAAATTAACGTAAGTTTTAATTACACCGAACCTTGATATTTAGAAGCATCATAACTCATCTATACATATAATAAAATTGTATCTAAGCCGAATCTGTACATTAAATATTTTTTGGAAAATCTTATTTAAATACACATTATTATCAATACAGACGCCGAATAGATACAGATAATAGATACTATAGTTTTTAGAGTTTTTGTCTGTCTGTCTGTCTGTCTGTTACCGCATCACAGAAAAACCACTGGAGGGATTTTGATGAAATTTGGTATGGTGATAGCTGGTTATCCGGGTCAACATATAGGACTTTTAACCGCGAGAAAATGTCTCCTTTCTGAGAAAAAATATAAAAACTGCAATGTAAGAGTATAGTAATATGTAAAACCTAAGAATTTGGTTCTTGGTCATCTGAACGCGGGCGGAGCCGCGGGCCTTGCTAGTATTATATACAATCAACTTTCAAACCAGCCCTACACAACAACTATGTACATATATAAATTTCCTGCTCGCTTATTTATTTTGGAACAATAAATTTATTAATTATGAATGAGTTCTCCTAGAATGGACTATAATAATAAGGTCTGAATTAATATGATCGATGTGTCATCCTTAAGTAACCTATGCAGTTACAAACAGAATATTATATTGGCAATTCAATATCATTATATTTGCGTCCAAGTACCTAAATCATATTTTTAAAGCAGCATAAAAAAACTAAAAAAAAAAACATTTGCTTAAAAATGTATACCTACTCTATGCATTAATTAAATCGAATCGGACGAAATTGCTATTTGGGTTTAAAGAATGTGACAAAGAGACATATTATAGGCATATACTGAGACATTACCCTCCTTTTCAGGCAGTTGAGCTGTAGAAATGACATACGCAATTTGCCCAAATATTGTAACTGAGATTTTTAAAGAGATACCATAAAATGAAGATTTCGAAATAAAGTCAATAACGTAACTATAATACTAATTTCGAAAAATTTAACTGCTCCCAACAATATTACATTTACCATTAATGCGCAGTATCACGATATTTTCTTGGTGGTGAAAGTAATCTTATGGTTATGTCATGGGCGATCTTTATATCGGCGACACGCCTCAACTAAGCCAGAGTTGTTTTTTAGGGTTCCGTACCCAAAGGGTAAAACGAGACCCTATTACTAAGACTTCGCTGTTCGTCCGTCTATCTGTCTGTCTGTCCGTCTGTCACCAGGCTGTATCTCATGAACCGTGAAAGTTAAGACAGTTGAAATTTTCACATAAGATGTATTTCTGTTGCCGTTATAACAACAAAGACAAAACAAACAGAATAAAATAAATTAATTAATAATTAATAATAAGTATTTTAGTGAGTTTTTGCTCGATATTGATAACGATAACAGGTAGACGCTTGAAATATTCTTAAAATATTTAGTTATATATTCACTTTAAAAATAAATAATGAAATTAAAATAAAAATATATTTAAATGGGACTCCCTCACCTCACCTCACCTCATACCTCAGACATGATTTTTTTGCCGTTTTTATATATAATGGTACGGATATCGGAACCCTTCGTGCGTGAGTCCGACTCGCACTTGGTTAGTTTTTTATTATATAGGTTAGCCACTTTTCCCAAAATAAAGCATACATATTTCGTAGGCTTGATCTAAAATGAAAAGTTTCACATATCTACATATTTTTTGTCCCTTAAAGGGTTCAATTTAGATTAACAAAAATCATTAATAAATGTGCATGTTTGTAAAACTGAAAAGTAACTTAAAAATTAATCACTTTTATTAAAAACTAGCATTGCCAGTGGCTCCGCCTGCGTTCAGATGACCAAAAACCAATATTCTTAGGATTTACGTATTAGTATACTCTTATAATGCAGTTTTTGTATTTTTTCTCAGAAATGAGATATTTTCCCGCGGTAAAAAGTATCCTATATGTTGACCCGGATAACCAGCTATCACCATGCCAAATTTCATCAAAATCCCTCCAATGATTTTTTTGTGATGCGGTTACAGACAGACAGACAAAAACTCTAAAAACTATAGATTCGGCCTCTGTATCGATAATAATGTTTATTTCAATAAGATTTTCCAAAAAATATTTAATGTACAGATTCGACTCAGTTAAAACTTTATTATATGTATAGATAAGTATTTATAGATACTCAAAATATGTTAAATTAAAACAGTCATCAAATAGAGACCAGCACGTTCGCTTGTATAAATTATTTCTCGATATTATGTATAATGGTATAGGTATGGCTAGTAAAGTATTTTAATGGAAATTGGCAATATTGATAAGAATTCGTGACGCCCTTAAAATCTAGATTCATGAGTTTTTGAATGTAAAGAAAGATGATTAATATACCTAATATGTTGTTATTTTCTTCACCTTTTAAAAAAAAGTAAGATGGTACTTAATAGGGGCATGTCTAAACTTTTTTGTGTATGTTACGTAATATGTTAGCCAAATGTAAGTCTATTTTTATTATTATTGATTTAACCGACTTCCAGAAACGGGGAAGATGTATTTTCGACCGCTGTTTAATGGATATACATTTATTATATATATAAAACTTCAAAGGTGGCCCCGTACAATTCATGTTGCAAAAATTGTATTTTATAGCTTTTCGTAATAGCTCTTGTGGAGTACCAAGTTAGATCTTATATATGTAGTTAAATATTAATCTGTGTTTCTGGCTCTTTACTTTTCTTCTTTTAAGAAAATAGTGCGTGTTGTATGAACAATCTCTACACCGCATAATATTGTATCAATTATACTTAGACCGAATCAAATATACGCAAGACGGATATACAAACATTCTCACATTAATCGAACCTGCGACGATCGGCGCATAATGTGACATTTTTAGAATATTATTTAACAAGTCAATTGTCTTATCAACAGACCTTTAGAGCACCTGAGCGATAAATGTAAAATCATTATATTGATCTAACTTCGAAGTTGTGATTCGTATGATACCCAACATGAGCTGTATCTGATAGCGCACCTATATGTAAAACAAAGCGGCAATCCTTTCATATATTAACGATCATGATAAAAGTACCATTTTATAAACAAGTTTTATAAGTTTTATATAAGAATTATGCTAATATAAGGATGTTTGAGATTTATGAAAGAAGGATTATATTACAGAATTCATAGGTATCTGCAATATTACTGATGATGAAGAAATCTAGTTTACGAAACATCATGGTGATAGTTTTTGTACATACATTTCTTAAGCAACCTGCAACAATGATAATATTGAGGAAATAACATCATCATACACTTCCTATAATAAATCTATACATTAATTGTAAATGTAATGTGGTCAAGTTATAGGTGGTTATAGGTTTTGATTTCTCACATAAATTTAGTATTCTACGCTTATTATAAAGTGGTAAAGATTATAAGTTACGTATGTAGCGGGTAATCTCTGAAAGTACTGATACGATTTTGAAAATTAATTTATTAACTAGCGGTACGTTTTAACGGTTAATGTGCAATACAAATCTTTGAATTTCTCGGTTTTTCTGTGCTATAATATGAACGTATTATGCATATTAACTAATCTCTTGAATCACTCTATCTATTGCTGAAAACTGCATTAAAATCCGTTGAGTAGTTTAAAAGATCCAAGCGAACAGACAGCGGAAGCGACTTCCATTTTATACTATGTAAAGATAAAAAGCTATATTACTACCGACTATCAAAGACTATTTTTTATTTCGTTATAAATGTGTTTACTGTTAGAAATCATAAATTAAATTAAAGTAGGAAAAAATGCCATAGAGTTACTTTTATTAAAACAGCTAGTGCCCTAGGTATACTAGGCATGACGCACCCGAGCGAAGGGAGGGTATTCCGCTAGTTTGTAATAGAACTGTACATAGGTAATACTTCTCAGTTCATCAGTCTATTTTAATAGCAGATAGTATTTCACAATTCTATTAAAACAAAGCAAATTTATATAATTTTTAACCATTATTTTAGTGTTTTGTTCTTACCTCAAATACACTGTGCTTCCATATGGACTGGTATCATGCTTTCTATCTGCAGGCCGCCTCATCGGTCCTACTGAACTAGATGCTCGACCCCTTTGCCCTGGACTCCTTGGTGTAGGGGAAGTCCCTCCGCTCCTACCACCGTGACCATACTGAGTTGCTAATGTTACTTCTTCGGGCTGTTGACAAATGGAATAGATTATTATACAAAAGTTTATTAAAGTTTAAACTTTAAGTGGGACTAAAGCCACTAGCTTTCTTAGTTCTAGCAAATTCTAATATTAACATTGCAATTGTCAAAGTCGATATGTAAGTATTTTGCATGAAAGCCATAAAAACCTCATTTTATTTAAGTATATTTAAAATTAAAATCCATTTGATATTTAAAAATTTAAAATCAATCCAATGAATGATTTCTGGTTTGCATATTTTTTTGCTTTGCATATTACTTGTACTCTTCAACTGTTGAGTTATTTCAGTATATAACGATTTTTAATAAGATTAATTAAGGCCTAAATTTTTGCAATAATTAATTAGGTTACACATTAATCCCAATTTATCTATACTAATATTATAAAGAGGTAAAGTTTGTGAGTTTGTAGGGGGTAATCTCTGGATCTACTGAACCGATTTAGATGAAATTTGGTGAGAAGATAGTTCGAGACCCTGGGAAGGGCATAAATATTTTTATCCCGGAACTCATCCCTTAAGGGGGTGAAAATGGGGTTTAAAGTTTGTATTGGGAAGCATGTTTAGAACGAACCCGAGCGAAGCAAGGGTGAGTTGCTAGTCAATGATAAATGAAGTGTCAATCAATGCCATTAAAATTGTCTTTATTTTATATGCAAATAAGTGATATGATAATCATATAACAGAGTTATAGGACTGAAAGTTGAGTAAAAATATTTTTATTACTCACTTATTTTGTCAATACAATTTTCTATAAAGACATATTTGATATATTTCAGTTACAGTTATGAATATAAATTTTGTTTCAGTTTATATTCAACTACCTCCTTTTATTGACTCTAAATTTAACTCACTTGCTGATTTCTTTCTATAAAGTACTATTAAACTTTTATTATAGACATACTACTGCCAATGACCTCCATTCAACTTTTGTTTAGTAGAAATGCTCAGAATGGGAAACTGTATTTGTATTTTTGGAACTAGTTAAAAGATTTCAATGAAACTTAGCTTTGTTTTAACTCACAATAATGTTTAACAAAGACCTATAACAATCAAATACGACAGACAAACACTCTAAATTTCCATTTAATTACTCCTAAATGCTTATAAAGCACAAATATATCTTTTTTAAATATACACTACTTTGAACTCATAATAATTTTATGAAATGTATAGCTTAGATAGTAATATTCCAATAATAGCGACTTTTTCAGTGTAATCAAAATTATTTTACATAACCATCTCAGTTAATAAAATAAATGCACAAGTAACAATGATATATTTAATCTAGTAAATGATAATAAGTAAAAAGGTAGATATCTAAAAAAGGGAAAAATGGTTAAGAGTTTAAAACATTACATTCAATCTAGCAATTAATGGGATTTATTTCATGCATTTTTGTAACAAAATTAAAAGTGGACAAGAAAATATTTATTTAGGAACTTTAATTTTAACATTATTTTAAAATGTTTATTAGTAATTGGATTGTCATTCATACTATTAATATATGAAAAATTGTTTTAATGACTTTTAACATTTTTGTTTTACACATTCTAAGATTAATCTCTAAGCGCTTTCTTTAAAAATAAGTAATAACTCTGTTAAATTCTATTAAAACAGTATAGTACCTTATAGTACTACCATATTTCAATATTGATATGCTTATAAAGTAAACAGATGATAAACTTGTTCAACACATGTTACTAAAAAAGGAATTGCATATCTGCTCCAAATCCAAATGTTCATTAACAATATGTAGTTAGTACTTCTTTAATGGTCTATTTTTATTCATTACAATTTAACAAATTTTTGTTTATGTTAAAGCATTGTTTATATATGTAAAAAAAATATATATTATGTGTCTAGATTTAAATTATTTGTCCCTGAATTTTAAATTAGTTTAAATAAAAAAAATATATTATAAATCAAAGTAACTGTTATAAATAATAGTCATAAAAACTATGCTGCTATTAAACTACTATTGATAAAAATAAAATTTGCAAATTATTTAGGATTGTATATAAGCAGATTCCGAAATGTGGAACCTTAATAGCTTCTGGCTTTGTTGGTGGCTGTGCTGCAACATTAGGAAGAGAGCCACTCCGGAATGTTCCCAATCCCTGTTGTGTTGGTACTAAGGATTCAACAACTTCTGGTTCAGGGGGAGCTTTGACTTTGGCTCGCCGACTACTAGAGTTAACCTGCAACCACCTTTTCTCAGCAATAGCCCATTATACTACTATGCTTCTATATTTTAACTTGTATATATTATTTAATATTCACTTCCATTAAAAACCTAATTGAATGAATTACATTCACTAATACTTTCTTAGATTTATGAAAATATTTGACATTTAAAATAAAACTATCTTTTCAGATTATTTTCAGATGTTTCGAATGCTGTAAAGTGTACCTTTTTTGTTAGTTAAACCAAAAATCAAAATAAAACTGCAAAATAATCCGAAAAAATAGTTTTCTTTAAAATATACATTCAATAAGTTGTGTTTATAAATGAAAGATGTCAAATGTAATGCACGTATTAAATATAAATAGTGTTTTAGCTATAATACTACATAATATTTACCATAATCTCATATTAAAGTCAAAATATAAAATAAAAATCTTAATCATCCACAAACCTTTTATAACCTTTAATTTAGAATATTTATAAGTCATGCAAATGGATTAAATATTAATATATTACAACAAGAATCATTACTTTTAATAAGTTATAATAAAAATGTTTTTCTCATGTTATAGCCTGCATATTGTGAATGAAATATTGGATGGTTATGGGTGCTTAAAACAAATAATATATCATTTATGCACAGTAACCTTCAACTGATCATATTCTTAATCTCGTTATTGTTTAGTGTATGTAAAGGATACAATAATAAAACAATTTCGATAATGACAGTTGTTAATTATCACAAGAACTAAATTCATAGAAACATTGTTTCTTTTCAATAAATTTGAGATTAATATTCTGTTAATAATTAAGTCGCAATATTGAAATGATTATTGTTTACGTCGGCTAGCGCATTTGACGGCCAGGAAGCGATTGCCTGAGTAAATAGGCGACCCGCGACATACCTTATTGGTTGCGTCGGAAACTTCACGCATAATTTTTTCAAAAGCTGCTGTTTCCTCAGCCTGCTTTTGATTGTGGAGGGCAATTTTTTCACTAAATTTTCTAGGATTCGCCATGATAGTCAACAAACATTTATTCTTCTCTTTTTACATCACAATTTTCTACGATCATAGAACCAAAACGCGCCTGCCTGTCAGACAGTAACTCGATGTTACCATAACATAAAAGTTCAACATGAAGTCTGCTAAAGATTTTAAGAAAGGTAATATCATTATCTGAAATATCAATTTATTTAAATGTTTTTATATTATACAACATATTATGTTGTATTTAGTAATAAGCACCCACAATATTATATATTTATATACAATTAAAAATATATTAAAAAAAATAATGATTTCCTGCAAATGGCAATTATTGTTAATAATGTTATTATGAGGATGTCGGGATGGATTTCTATTCTAAAATGAAAACACTTTATATTTTATTTCAATCGGTTAAAAATAATTATACGTAATTAAATCAAGCTGAGCTCTTCTATTTAATTGTTTATTCCATCTCACATCTAGTTTATTTCTGTATAAATCTAACCAAATCAGCCAATGCCTTAAGGAATGGCTATATACATATTTTCAGGATTTCGAAGTTCTTTTAATACGGTTAAAAACAGTGAGAACGAGTATTTTATTTAACACAATATGAATTCTGCTATTTTTTATGTTATACTAGCGGCTCAGCCTCGCTTCGCTCGGGCTCGCCTCTTTAAAAACAAAAACAAATCTATCCCTTGCGGACAGTGTATTTTTACAGGATTAAAAGTAGACTATGTGTTATTCAAGACTATAATCTATTTTTGTGCCAAATTTCATCCAGATCCGTTCGGCCGTTCTAGCGTTAAAGAGTAACAAACATCTGTACTAACAAACTTTCACATTTATAATATTTATACAGATGTTAGTAAATCGTACGTTTATATAAGCAAACAAAAAAAAATTAAGGGAAGATTACTTGAAAGGACGGCGCTACACGTATGATCTATTTACATTCAATCTGAGGTTAAGCAAATTACTTTTGTACCTGGTTTTTGCTACTATTGTGATCACATTTTAGCTGTGCAATGTATTGTACGTGGAAGTTAGACCAGCTGAAAGAAGAATTGAGAAGGAGAGGTGAATCCTGTGATGGTCCTGACTGACTGATGGATTAACGCACAGCCTAAACCGCTAGTCGCAGAAACGTGAAATGAAGACGTATTCCTTACATAATATAAGAATCCGATAAGAAAATATTTTTCGAAATTCATGCCCTAAGTAGGAAAAATAGGGAATTAAAGATTGTATGAAACTCTGTCATTCTTAATGTGAAATACACAGAAAGTAGCGTTTAGCTTTAAGATAAAAAATAAGAAATATATTTGTTTGAATTTTTCGAAATTCATCCCTTAAAGGGGTAAAAAGGGGTAATAAAGTTAATATGGGCAAAGGACTATTTATGATCAGAATAAATCGCGATTCGCGATGTCTGGCGTGAGAAAAAGTCAAAATTCTTCCCCATTTCCTTGAATGGGTTGTGATATCTGTACTAGTATAGAAGGTATTATATCATTTGCGCTTTAATCTGAAGAAATTCTTATCTGTCTACACATTTTCTTTTCCTAGTAGCAAATATTTGTGCAAATAGTCACAAATTGCCCAATAAAATACAGTGCAATGAACGGTATCCTCTGGTATCAGACTTGAAATATATTATCCTTTTTGACTTTAAATATATAGCATTATAAGTATGCTGGCAACATTACGTTTTACTGTCAATGCCTTATTGATGTATGATATTGTCAAAGTCAAACCGGTTTTGTCCTGACTGTCACAAGTCACAACATCAAAAGAAACCTTATAATTATCAGGAATTTGGATAATATATAGTATATTTTGCGATGCATTGTTAGTGTAGTTAAAGTTATTGAACGAGCTGGTGCTAGCTTTGGAATTTATCATTATGGAGCAAAAATATATATTATCTTTAGATATAGGCACTACAACGATTCGGTCGGTTATTTACAATTCAAGAACAGAAATTATAGGCAAAGCTGTAGACCAGGTACACTCTTATTAGAATTATCCAATTTTTCTTACAATATATTTGGTAAAACTGTTAAAATGACTGCAAAAATATTGTTGATAGTAAATTATTTAATAGAAACCGCATAAAAAAGTAACTAAATTCTTGTAATATTTATATATGACATTAAAGATAAACTTTACTTAATTAAGTAAATCATAACTTAATTATAGCGTGATTTGATGGTTCGATGAGAAGAAAAATACATGTTACTTATTTTTGCAACTATATATATGTTTTTAATGTTAAAGTTCAATTAAATTGGCTTGGCTGTTGTAGTTTAAATTTAAGAATGAAAGCTTTGTTAACATTCTAAGGAAAAATGTGTTAAAATTGCGAAAAAAAATAACCATAGTTCCAATTTTTTACTTTAATATTGAACTTCATTAATTATAATTGTGGAGCGTCCAAACAAAAAACGATAAATCACATTTGTGTTTTTTGTTGGAAAAATGTAAAAATATGGCCAAGTTCATGGTTTTCTAATTTAGAGTTAAACGAAATCTATTAATTTATTGGTGTTGGCATCACTGTTTGGAAACCTAAATTCTACATTCGTGACTGTGGTACCTGTTGAGTTATAAAAAAAAAATGGATCTATCAGTTATTGACCAAACCAACTGGATATATCGGTTTTTGATGGAATCTAAAGAATTAACAATGATAAATGTTAGGGGTTTCTTGGTATCTGTTCTGATCACCATTGTTGTTTAATACAATTGATGTAATTATTGGTTTATGTTCAGATCCGGGTATTTCGTGGACGCATTTAGAGCGGAAATTATATATATTGGTTTTTGTTCTAATGCTCCTCAATTGATGTCACAATTTTATTAATCTTTTAGGTAATACTCCACTACCCTAGCTCTGGATATGTGGAAATAGATCCAGATGAACTTTGGACTTCTGTTGTAGGTGTTGTAAGCACCAGTATACAAAGTTAGTGTTTATAATATATATAATATATATGTACTATTTGTTTAAAAGTAAAAGTTAATAATTAAAGTCAAATTGCCACACACTGCCACGCACAGTAAATTATCACTCAAGTTCTTATTATACATAGTTGTGAATAATTTTATATCATTTGGCATAACAAGTTTATTTGAGTTTGCTGCATGTCAACTAGTGATAGAAAATACATATAATCTATTAATTCTTTTTAGATGCTAAACTATCAACTGGACAAATTACGGCAATGGGAATTTCAACACAAAGGAGTACTTTTACAACTTGGTCTCGAAAGACAGGGAAACCATTCCATAGATTCATTACTTGGAAAGATCTCAGAGCGGATGACTTGGTGAAACAATGGAATGATTCTTATACTTGGAAGGTTAATTATATTTTTTTTATTTTTTTTTATATTATATTATAAAATGTATATTATAAAATTATTTCTAGTCTTGTTGTTACAATTGAAAAAGTTAATTTGCTGAATTAAAAAACAAAAGTCTCAAGTAGGTATTTTGTATGAAAATTAATTTAACATGGAGAAACTACAACATGAATGTTCATTAGTTGAAAGAAAAAAAATATTTTTTAACAATTAATTGCAAAACCATATTTTGCACTCTAAACTCTAATAAATTCTTCATTTGACTTGAATTTGTTTGTGATAAACGACATATTGTATGGAAATGTAATTGTGTATAAAAAATATTTTGATATATAATAATATAGTAATTATAAATTGTTTTTTTTTCAGCTAATTAAAATTGGTGCTTTTGTGTTGTTTATGATATCAAGAAGCAAAAGATTTAAAGCAGGAAGTGTTCTGAAATTTTCTAACACTCAGGTAAAGGTTATTTACATAATCCAATTTAACAAAAATATTAAAAATTATAATATTAACAGCAGGACCCGCGGTTACGCTCACGCTAAACTACAAACAAACAAATAGGTGGGTTTCATACAAACTTTCATCCCCATTCTCACACCATTAAGGGATGATTTCCGGGATAAAAACTATTTCACTTACTCACTTTTCATATTATGAGATCTAAAAAAATCTTATTTTAGCAAAAAAAATTCTTTTAATTTTGTTCTATACAAAGCTTGTCCTGACCATAACAAACAAAAAAAAAGAATTATCCAATTTGGTACAATCGATCGGAAGTTATGCATGTACATACATTTCGGTGATCATTTTAGTTATATAGATAGATATAATAATAACCTAACTTGTACACTAACTAAATTACTTATATACTACACGTAACACCTTTGGTACATACTTAAGTTAGGTAAGTACCTGATGTAAATATTGCAAATTCTGTTGCTGTTTATATAAACATTTTAGAAGAAATACTCTAAGTGATATATTTCTGTCACAATTTGTCGTTTTACGTATATTTTAACTGAACAGTATCAAGCATTGTGTTTAAATATAAACAATTTATTTCTGTAGTAAAAATGAAAGGCGTAAAGCTTTTTATAGTTCACTAGCATTGCCCGCGGCTCCGCCCGCGTTCAGATTACCAAAAACCAAATTCTTAGGTTTTACATATTAGTATACTCTTACATTGCAGTTTTTGTATTTTTTCTCAGAAATGAGACATTTTCTCGCGGTAAAAAGTCCTATATGTTGACCCGGATAATCAGCTATCACCGTACCAAATTTCATCAAAATCCCTCCAGTAGTTTTTCCGTGATGCGGTAACAGACAGACAGACAGACAAAAATTCCAAAAACTATAGTTTCGGCCTCTGTATCGATAATAATGTCTATTTCAATAAGATTTTCCAAAAATATTTTATGTACAGATTCGGCTTAGTTACAATTTTATTATATGTATAGATGACCAATATAAACAAATTATAAATAAACAACAAATGATTACGTTTGATAAATAAATTATTTATCACATTGTAATTGTAAAGTGCGTATTTAACTTACATTATATATTCTTTGCCAACTATGAATTATATTTAACTAACGATCCTCGCTCACTTAGGCCTCGCTGGATCCCATGCGTTATAATTACCTAAATGAAATTTCTCTCTCATATAATATAAGTATATTGTGTAAATGAATAGGCAGTTGTAGCTTATGATGTAGTGGTAACTGGCTCGCGTCATGCAAGATAAGCGAGTTCAAATCCTGTGCGGCGCACTTCTGGTATATTCATGTGGGAATAATTTCGACATAATTACCATTCGCCGGTGAAAGAAACATAGCTGGTATTTAGTATTTACGACTTTCTGTTTTCGTTTCCGTTGTTTTTTGAATACATCAAAGGAAAACAGATAATTAATGTTAAGTAATGTAAGATAACCTTTTATCAAAATTTGAGACTTACCGAGAAAATGTATAACCAGGTTGAGGGTTCCACTCTGGGTGCAACATTAAGACTAGGATCGCGGATTTATTTTGTATCAACGTCGTCGTCGTGGCCTCTCGTCTATTGCATGCTCTATATACAAATATAAAGCATACAAACCATATGTTGCAAATTGATAACATATCGCCGCCCCCGGAGAATAAAATGATAACTGCAAAAACACCATTTTTCAGGAAAAATAAAAAACCTATTTTTGAATTTAACTTTCTAAGCAATAGATGTAGAGAGATAAAAAAAGCTCAATGATAGTTAATTTTTTAACTATCATTGAGTTATACTAAAGTTTTCTGACCTGAAGATATTTAGGATTTAAAAAGTTACTAAAATTTTGTTGTTGGTTTTATTTACTAATAACACTTAGCATTTTATTCTCGTTACTTTTAACAAATTGTGAGTATTGCATTACTATTTTACAATAATATTTAACGAATAATACAGACTAAATTAACGGAAAACAATATCACTTTGCATTCTATTCTAGTTAATATGTATAACATCGCCGTCTCCGGAGAATAAAATGATTACTGATATTACAATAGTTTTACTGTTATCCCATATTTGAAGTCTACGGTGCCTAATAAATCTACCCCATTTTTTTCGTGAATATCCAGGCATTACTCAAAAAGTTATAGAATAATGCAATCATTTTCGTCACTCTTTCAAACACACAAAGGTCCTTGAAAAAATATATAATATGAAGTTAGTGAAACCGTTTCTTCATTAAAGGTACAATAAAAACTTTTGCAATAATATTCTCGAAATCAAATCGGCGAAATACTTGTGAACGCTATTGTCATTTTGTTCTCGTAAAAATCCGCTTAGACTCGGCGACTAACATGTCTTTAGTAAATAGCACTAATAATGACTGAGCAAAGAAATATCTTGCCATTCTTTTCTGTCATTAGAGCAAGCTTACATGGGTATATGACAAGTATATGTATATGATGTAGGTAATATAATGTATATGATGTAGGTACATACTTGTAATAAATATGATAAAATATATGGAACAAAAGAATTAATTATAATTGACATAAAACAAGTCTTAAATAATGAAGTTCTATGATATTTGCATTTTGAACTATGAACTTGAAATAATTGTGGAAAATAATTACTTTAAGTATTGCTTACTTAAACACTACGTTGTATATTACATAGATACTCTAAATTATTTATCAACCGACTTCAAAAAGGAGGAGGTTCTCAATTCGACTGTATGTTTTTTTTTTTTTTTTATGTTTGTTACCTCAGAACTCCGTCATTTATTAACCGATTTGGACAATTTTAGTTTTGTTTGAAAGTGCTTCCAGATTGGTCCCATTTAAATTTCAAAAAAGAAGTCGGTTTTTATTTTTTTGTTAAAAAGTTTTTATTCTATTTGTCTTTTATATTTTAGAGTACTGCTCATCAATCTTAAATCTATACTACTTTCTTAGATTTACGCGAATATTTGACATTTTAAATAAAACTATCTTTTCGGATTTTGTCGCGGATTTATTTGCATTTTTGTTTCCCGACGTTTGGAATGCTTTACAGCAATCATATCATGGTCTCTCCCGTGACCATGGATGCTGTAAAGCATTCGAAACGTCGGGAAACAAAAATGCAAATAAATCCGCGACAAAATCCGAAAAGATAGTTTTATTTAAAAAATCTATACTAATTATATAAAGATACAGAGTTAGTTTGTTTGAATCCGTTAATCTAAGGTAGTACTAATCGGATTTAAAAAAAAACTATTTACATTAGATAGCCGTTTATTGTGGCAGACTTAGGCTATATATCATCATGCTACTACCCAAGGGTGGGGAGCAGTAATCATCATTGTCAACAAATCGGGTAGTAAAACTAATGTTGTAAAACTAATGTTACATCGGCAGTTTGAACTCGGGCGAAGCCGCGGGTGCTGCTAGTTATATGTTAAAGCTTTAAAGACTCAATAGTTACTACGTAGTTAATAATTTAATAGTGACATTGAGCAATTTTGTATTTAGATTTTGTTTTTTAGTTTATCTATATCTATATCCGACAATATTTTAAGATATGAATATCTAATAGGTAAATATGATTAGGTATGAACTCTATTATTATAGTTAAAATATTATTATACACCAATTTGTGATACATTTTACGTATCGAAATATATTAGATTTGCTTTGCATCGGCTGGCACCGACTTCGAAAATATCTGATTAGGTATAAATACGTTTTAATTTTTTTGAGCGGAACCCTTTTACTGAAATAAAAGTAGCCTAAGTTACTCCTTATAACATCATTTACCTGCCAGTGAAAGTTCCATCAAAATCGGCCCAGCCGTTTCGGATATTAGCCGGAACAAACAGACAGACAGACATTTTTTTTAATAATTGGGTTTTTCTTATAAATACCGTATATAATGCCATATGCATTTAGTAAAAAGCTTTTATTTTGACATTACAAACAGACACTTCAATTTTATTTATCTGTATAGACGATGACCCCCGTCTTTGTAGGAGAACATAAACAAGTATATTAAATAGTAAAATTATTGCTCTAGTGGGTACATGTATTCCGTTATATCATAATAATGCACATAAGTAATATGTACATACTTCGTAAAGACATAAAATCACTTACTTCAAACTAAGTTGTTCTATTATTTATATTATATACTTATCGAAAAGTTTCATTTAACCAATTTTTTTTTTATTTTAGACCACACTAAGGTTATATTGGGCTCTACATAACGTGCCTGAACTGAAATCCGCTATTCAGAACCATGACGCTATGTTCGGGACACTGGACACGTGGCTTCTATATAAAATGACAGGTACTTCAAACTTTATTAATAATAACTTTTGAACAAAATTCAAATGCCAAACTAAAAAGTTCTGTAACTCTATAATCTATACATATAATAAAATTCTAACTAAGACGAATCTGTACATTAAATATTTTTTGGAAAATCTTATTGTAATAAACATTAATATCGATACAGAGCCCGAATCTATAGTTTTTAGAATTTTTGTCTGTCTGTCTGTTACCGCGTCACAGAAAAACCACTGTAGGGATTTTGATGAAATTTGGTACGGTGATAGCTGGTTATCCGGGTCAACATATAGAATACTTTTTACCGCAGGAAAATGTCTCATTTTTGAGAAAAAATACAAAAACTGCATTGTAAGAGTATATTAATATGTAAAACCTAAGAATTTGGTTTTTGGTCTTCTGAACGCTGGCGAAGCCGCGGGCAATGCTAGTACACTTATATAATAAAATCTTTGTACTAATATTTTTCTAATTGTAGGATGTATTGTTATAAACGAATGTATTACCTATTGTGTATATTAAAGTTTAAATGCCTCGTTGGTTGGTTCAGTGTATACCGCTGCATATCCGGAGGTCTTGAGATTTGAATCCTGGGTCGGTTCATATAAAGTTATTGGGCTTTTTCTGACAGAGAAATTTTTATTAATGTGTTCCGTGTTGAGCTGTTAAAGTTGTTGATCTTGTGCCTCATCTTTCACCGGTGCAGAGTTCAGTGAGATTTGATACCTATATAAGTATAACATTACATATTATTAAATGTAAAGCCCAATTTCAGTATAAACTTGCTTTGCCTAGTAATTACTACTTCCTTATCCTTACACTTTACGGATTATCAATGCCAGCTAGGTTCGTATGGGGCTAAAAAGATTATCATAAGCTTTTATTTACAACTAATCTAATCTTTGTTTTGTTTATGATTCGTATTAGAGTTAAAATCTAAGATATTAAGGTTCTATTTATACAGTTAGGTTTGTTAAAAAAAAATGTTCCTAGTAATCTAAATTTTCCTTAAATATGATCCCTATATTTATTCGAGATGGCGTTAACGTTTTGGGGTATTTCTTAGAAACGATCGGCCAAGATAATAATTGAAAAAAAAAGTTAGTATGTAATATTATAGTATAGTTAGTGTGTATGTAAATTACAATTAAAATAATTTAATTTTTATTATATCAGTTTTATTATCACTTCTTTATAGTAATTTCTCTTATGTGACGTAGGTATCTTTATAATATAGTGCCTGGAGTTATAATATTATATCTGCTACTGGGTTCTTTGTCATAACCATAGTGTGATAAAATGCGTCTAATATTTTCGTGCTAATTAGATACCTCTGGACGCAATGCACTATCAGTACTTAAATTTCCTCCATAATATATTAAAACATTATTTTCTGCAAAAATATGGTCTATAATAAAACATCTAGTTTTGAAGCTGATATCAATATAAAAAAACCTTTTTGTTCAGTTTATTAAATTATAATCATGAATATAAACCAAGAAATAGAAAAAGGAATTTCTCTTTATTAAGTACATAAGTCAAATTTCAGGTAGCAAACTCCACATGACGGACGTTTCTTCAGCGTCTGCGACGGGTTTTTTCGATCCGTTCACGATGCAATGGGCGAGTTGGGCCATGTCCTTATTCGGGATCCCGCAAGCTGCATTACCAAAGGTGGTCGACACTGCGGGAGAACACTTCACTAGTACCGCCCCAGATATCTGGGGGCATGCGATACCTATAAGAAGCTGTGTAAGTATATCTATATCATATACTAGCGACGTGGCCAGTGTAAACTCACTTCGCTCGGGTGCTTTCCATGGTCTAATAATAGCAGTAAAAGTAACTCAAAGACCGTTTATTTTGACTTGATTTAAAGTTATTATAATGAATGTTAATATAATTAGTGAATCGTTTTATTGGATAATACTTTCTCAGATTTACGCGAATATTTGACATTTTAAATAAAACTATCTTTTCGGATTATTTCGCGGATTTATTTTGATTTTTGGTTGTATTAAATCCTTTTATTGGAATTAAAAATAGCCTATAGCACTCGGTGGTATATCTAATATATTTAAACGAGCAATTCTTGTATATATATATTATATATTGATATATATTTATATATCAATCTGAATCTCGGAAACGACTCCAACGATTTTCATGAAATTTAGTATACAGGGGGTTTCGGGGCGATAAATCGATCTAGATTAGTCTTATGTCTAAACGCGTGTTTTCGAGTTTTCATGCAGTTTTCTTTTGCTATTTCACGCAAAATATGGTCGGCAATTTGCACGCTCGGGAATAAACATCGTGGTCAAGCGGCCAAGGTGCAAGATGAACTATCACAGGTGTCCAGGTTCGAATCTCGGTCGCATACAAAGATTTTTCTTTTGTTTTTTTTTGTACTTATTCAAGTTTTTAGTTTTTTTTTTAAAGAAAAATGTTCTTTTTAACCAAAAACTCCGAGCGAAGCTCGGTGGCCCAGGTTCTATATATATATATATATATATATATATATATATATATATATATATATATATCCTATTACTGAGAGTTTTCAGGTTTGGATCAGTAGTTTCAGATATTACCTTCTACGTACGAACTTACAAAGTCAAAAAGTTTTTTTGTAGTATGAACGCGGGCGTAGCCGCGGGTTCTGCTAATATGAATATAATTACTAATTACCTTGATAACGAGTTTTTCTCACGAATAGCAGTGTCCTGTATGAGAGAATAATATTCGTATCTAATACCTACCTTTGAAAAAAATATGTACTTAAATGTCTGTTTTTGTCTAGTAAATAAGGTGATTTGCTTTAAGAATATCTAAAAAAGTAACTCATTAGGTATATTCTTTTACTAGAACTGTCTTAAGAAAACAATCTTTGAGATAAATTAACATTAACTCCAATAGAATATTATTAATGTGAAGCATAATACACATGGCATTTAAAATTAACTTAACTTTTTATTTGAATCGGTCGAAACAAAACAACATATAAGAACTCTTTTAGTGTTTCGCTACATAGATGTAGATAAAAACTAAAAATTTTATTAACAAAAACTAAAATATGTACAGTGTATGTATTTTTATATTTTTTTATCTCTTTATTATATTTTATATATTTTTTCCAATGGCTAAGTATGAACCGGTGTGAACAGGAGTTTCGTTGTAATTAGGTAGATTCTGGCGAAAATGACAAGATCTTTTTTATCTCCAAAAGCTGTTTAGCAAACAATAGATGTTTTATGAGTTTTTGACACGGTCTGTAGCAAAAACATGTCTGCATTATGTATGCATAAAATGTGTTAATGTATTAGTGTGTGTTTGTTACTTTTCACACAACTGATTTTAGAAAAAATCTTGATAGAAATAACTTATATTCTAGATTACAAATAGAGTCTCGGTCACAGACTAATAACAAATAAACATAAAAAATAATATAATCTCCAGATAGCAGATCAAACAGCATCCATGTGGGGTTCATGCTGTTTCAATGTCGGCGATGTGAAACTTACAATGGGTACTGGTACGTTCTTCAACATAAACACCGGGCGTCTCCCGCACGCGTCGGTGTCGGGGCTCTACCCTGTGGTCGGGTGGAGGCTCGGGGAAGAGTTAGTGTTCTCAGCTGAGGGAGCTAACAATGATACTGCCAGCATCATTAAATGGGCTCAAAGCTTAGGTAAGTATTCATTTTTTTAACAACCCACTGCTGGGCACGGATCTCCCTTCAATACGACGGATATCGGGCCATAATCCACCACGCCAAGTGCGGGTTGGCGGACTTCATATATATTAGTCTTTCGAAAACTTGTTAGGTTCTCTCAGACATGCAGGTTTTCTCACGACGTTTTTCTTTACTATCAATCAGAAATTGAAAATCTTAGTAAGTGGTTGTCTATCGATTCGTCTATTTGTCTGTTTGTCTCTTCTGCTGTAACGCAAAACTAAAAATAGCCATTCATTTACGCAAACATAAATTATTGTTAGTTTTTTTTCTCTATTTACTTCGAATATATGTTTGTCATAACATTAATACATATTTTTTTAAAGTCAACATAACTTTAGCTATGATTTAAATAACTTTTAGAAATCGTTGGGTACCTTTACTCTCTCCGATCTTATAAAAATATTTTCTTTCTACATATTTTTTGCTGGAATTAAGTAGATTGATCCTTCCTATTATTTATAAATGCAAAAACGTATTTTGTTTTACTTTTATATAGCGATGTTGTTAGCCTAGACATTGTTTGTGAGATCAGGCGTGACAATATACTATTTTTTATACCTGTACAACGAATTCCCGTGGGATTTAACTTGTTGCAACAAATTAAATTAATGAATATATTGGTACATTAACACACAGCACCATCTAGTTCTATGGTAATCTACGAGGCTTGTGTTATGGATACTAGATATTTGGTACAATACATATAACTTTAAATACATACATATTATAAAGATAATTACCTGTAATTTATAAAAACAATATACTGGCCAAGCACATAACCTTCTTTATGGAAATCGCTAAAAAGCTAAGGTTAATATTTAATAATTGTTAATATTCATTCAATTTTAGGATTGTTTGATAATCCGCAAGACACCGCGGATATCGCCATGTCTGTGCCCGATTCTGACGGCGTATTCTTCATACCGGCGTTCAGTGGCCTGGGAGTAAGAACCGTTTTTTTAGTTATTATTAATATCATCATGTAATTAAAAATTGTAAAAGTGTTCATTTTATATTTTTCCCAATATAAGTATTTAAAGATCATGCGTGTACATCCCACATGTATGAAGTAGAGAACAGTGGTTTTTGAAGATTTCTACATGTTTTTAAATATTATTATGTCGATATGTACAAATATGCTCATATTTTCTATACAAAATTTGCTTAATAAATAATTTTACAACTTTCGTCAAGTCACTGTTGTTAATTTGTGGAACATTAAAATAAGTAAATATTGCAAACTTGTATAAAAGCATAGTTTTTAATTTGTTATGTTACATACAAAATTTTTACTTATAGTTAACTTAAGTTACTTTACTTAAGTTAAAATCGTGTAGTTACACAAAAAGTATTTTTTTTACTATATACTTATTTTAATGTGTCTTGCTACAGAACCCTCGGTGCACTTGACTGATTTTTTTCATTACATAAAGTGTAATTTATACTATATTATAAAGAGGCAGAGTTTGTTTGTTTGAACGCGTTAATCTCAGGAACTACTAATCCGATTCGAAAAATTCTTTTTGCATCAGATAGCTCTTTTATTGAGGAAGGCTATAGGCTATATATCATACAATATATAGTTATATATTCCATACTCAATGCATTTAAGCCCCCCCAAACCTTACCCAGGGACGAACCCGAGCGAAGTGAGGGTGTTAATAATATGAATAAAATGTTAACTTTTCCCAGCCACCATACAACGACTGTACGGCGGCGACGGGGTTCGTCGGCATGAAGTCGTCCACGAGCAAAGCCCACGTGGTGCGCGCCGTGCTCGAGTCCTTGGCCTTTAGAACGGCACAGTTATACAATTGTGTGCGAGCCGAGACTGACTATACGTTTAGTAGTATACGGTGAGTTAATATTATTTTATTAATTACTTAATAAAGCTTTGTATAAGAATGTAAATCTTTCATATTATTATTCTTCTCTTTCTCTTTCTCATGCTGGAAGGTTTCCGGTAGAGATCTCTTGAAGAGATAAGTCACCTTTATACACATGGTATCTGTTTTCTATTCTTTTTTGTGGTTCATAAATAAATAATTAAAAAAAAAAAATTTCATATTGCGAATTGCCTCTCTTAGCTTTTAATCAGTGATTCTTATTAAAATTATAATCCAAATATCGCAAACATCAACTGGAGTTTTAATCTAAAACTCCGAAAAAACATCGTTTTCAGAATGGAATTTTACAGGACAAATGAAATCATAAATCACTTGCGGATTATTGCTATGTATCCATAAACGTGTCACCTGCATAAAAGATAAAAAGGTATACATAATATTAAATTTTCTTTGTTAATGATAAGAAGTATGATACAGTGGACATATTATACTTAAAAATTATATAAATGAAAGTTATTTAGAAACATTTACGATACCTATCCTTTTATTAGAGTTATTTATAATTTGCACTTTTTAATCTTAGTTACAAATCTAGCGAGTCACATGAGACACCTGTCTACCAAATTTCAGCAATATACTCGTCGTACCAGGAAATAATCTGATTAATATGTTGGATGTGTGCCTTAGACATTTTATAAAATTTGACTTTTCTTTGGAGAATTTATAGGTTGGCTTGTTCTCCTATTACTCATATCTGTAATGCCTACATCGCGATAATGTTTTGACGGTCTAGGACCTGAAATAGACATACGAAACTCAATACTAAATTAATCTGTTTAACGTCAATCTGTTAATAGATAAAAAGTATTACCCAGAAATAGATTAAATCCTACATGTTAGTCTACGTCATGGTCTAGGTATGCGCTTAAGGCTTATCCAAATCCGTTCAAAGGTTTACGCGTAACTGAGTTACAAACATACAAATTCAAACTTTCTTTATTAACTATTTTAAACGATCTTATTACAGATTGGATGGAGGAGTGTCTAACAACGATTTCGTGGTGCAGCTTGTGGCTGACCTAACTGGGTTGCGCGTAGAGAGGCCGGTGGAGGTCGAAATGTCCTCCTTAGGTTGTGCACATATTGTAGGACTACAATTAGGTGAGATATTTGTTTTATATGAATGTATTGTAAATTGTAACTTAGCCGACCGAATCTGTACATTAAATATTGTTTGAAAAATCTTATTGAAATAGACATTATTATCGATACAGAGGTCGAATCTATAGTTTTTAGAATTTTTGTTTGTCTGTCTATCTATCTGTTACCGCATCACAGAAAAACCACTGGAGGAATTTTGATAAAAATTTGTATGGTGATAGCTGGTTATCCGGATCAACTTAAAGGATACTTTTTACCCCGGGAAAATGTCTCATTTCTGAGAAAAACTACAAAAACTGCAATGTAAGAGTATCCTAATATGTAAAACCTAAGAATTTGGTTCTTAGTCATCTGAACGCGGGCGAAGCCGCGGGCAATGCTATTTTATATTTGTTACTAATAAATATAAAATATTGCCTTAAAATGACAAACTGTATGATATTCCATATTATCTTTAAACCTGATTAATTAAAACAATATTTATTTATTAAACATACTTTCTAGGTATATTTAAATCAAAAGAAGAATTGAAGTCACTAAGGAAAGTAGGTACAGTGTTCACCCCACGACCACAAGTGAAGAAGGCATATGAACAGACCATGGCAAGATGGGAGGACGCGGTCGCGCGCATGTGCGGGTGGTATGTAGGGAACAAGTCGACACACTCACAGAACTCGGTTCATGACTCAAGTAATAACTCAGTAACTCCACAAAACAGTTTTAAGGTGACTTTAAAGAAAGATGGGTCCAAATAGCGATGGCTTTTCTATCTGCTTCTCTTCGTCGCGTGCATTCCGATATGCAGATGATATTTACTTCTGCCTAGTTTTAGATCTCTTTGGTCTCTTTATATATGATATGGAATGCACGGTATGGTAGTTGTTTGCTTACGTCATTGTGGTGTTGCCATTCTTTGGTTGTTTATAATTATTTTTTTATAATTTCTGTTTTTCTATAATACAAAAGCCCTAATAGTTGATTTTATGTTAAATGAGAAGTTGATTATAATTTGACGTTCTCCTGACCGATTCCGGCTACGGCGGCCAATCTCATTGAGACTAGCCAACTGCGCAGGAGATATTATAGTGCACAAGTGTACCTATAGACATAACATGCAAATGAAAAAAAAATATATTTTATCCAAATATTTCATAAAAATAATATTTAATAAAATATAATGATGTAAGCAAATATCAACTATTACTAGGCGATTTTTATTACAATATTTGTTTTGGAAAAAATGCGTATAGTAAATAAGTATATTTATACCATGTAATATTTAAAGCTTCGTGATTGTTAAAGGAACATATGACATTGAAGACCTAAAATTTAGTTAGACAATAAGCTCTGAATTAATAGGGTATCTGGCATCAACAAGTATTAGTACGAGGTTCCGATCTATGTGGTGGACCCCTCGCTCTTTTTCCAGGCGAAATATATTTTTAAACCAGAAAAAATATTAACAAACAAGACCCAGGGAGGTTGCCACCAAAAATTTGCTCTAGGTTATTCTGAATAGGTTTTTTAAAAGTACAAGAACTCTTTTCCTGTGACAATTTAGTATCAATCGAAAGTAAGAGACTTGTAGAAAATGCTATCATACGGTTGGCGGCCTTATTCGAATCCACACGTGACATCCAGGTACAAACAAGTAAATAGCTCGTATCGGATCGTATTTTCTGGAACCAACCAAGTATTAAAATGTAGATAATTTTATTACAAACTAGCATCGCCCGCGGCTCCGCCCGCGTTCAGATGACCAAAAACCAAATTCTTAGGTTTTCCATTGCAGTTATACTCTTACATTGCAGTTTTTGTATTTTTTCACCGAAATGAGATATTTTCCCGCGGTAAAAAGTATCCTATACATGTTGAACCGGATAACCAGCTATCATCATACCAAATTTCATCAAAATCCCTCCAGTGATTTTCCTGTGATGCGGTAACAGACAGGCAGACAAAAATTCTAAAAACTATAGATTCGACCTCTGTATCGATAATAATGTTTATTTCAATAAGATTTTCCAAAAAATATCTAATGTACAGATTCGGCTTAGTTACAATGTTATTATATGTATAGACTATAGATTTAATAATATCAGGTTGTTATACCAAAGCGTTTCCAAACTAGGCTAAATTACTTTATTTTATTAAAAATAGCCAGGAGCGAATTTTTGGTGACAACTCCCCCTTTTTTTTAACGTTGGGAAATGCATTTACGCACGAGGTGTGGGACTCACCGGCGAAGCCAGTATTACCCACTAAAACCCAACAAAACCTTCCCCCGTCTTAATGGGGCGTCGCAGAATCGCGTACGCATTCAACTACGACGCCCCGACGGCAGGTCTGCCGAGGCAGACCACAACGACCATGGGATTGCTCCAAAGTCCACTCTGCTATCAGAGAAGTACCAGGAGCAACCCGCATGATACACCGCCCTCCGAAGAGGGCCACCTCCCATCGCCCACCGAAGGCGGCCACCTCCCTGTGCGTTTCTTGGCTTCGCGCCCGGCTGTATTGCCGGGCACTACTGAGCCCCCCCCCCCACAACGACAAGGTGAACGCACGTTGGGGGGATGGTGACAACTCCCCTGGTTCGTGTTTGATAATATGTTTTATTGTTTAAAAAAATAATGTTGGCCTGGAAAAAGAGCGAGCGGTCCACCACATAGATCGGGAGCATGAACGAATTAACCACTGGACCAGACATATAAGCGGACGTACCTTTATCGGTCTTCTCAGTAACCAGGAGATTTTAGGCTTGGTCGTTTGTTTTTTGCGTCAGTCTCAAGCACTTATTTGTCAACAAAACATCTCCCAAAAATGACTAAATGTTCTGTTAAATGGTGTAAAAACTATAACGGCGGAAGCAGCACTATTTCTTTTCACTTGTAAATACATTATTTTATTACATTTATTGTTATTTATCACAAAATTTAATTAAATGAAAAATTAAATGTCATATTATCCAACTATGTTAAATATAGTCGATATTTCTATGTATTGTTGACATCTGACAACCATCATAAACGGGCTGGATTATACCATTCAGAACAAATGACAAAACTGTCGAGTGAGTCCATTTGACATCGACTAGTGCTTGACAATGTCGAAAAATATATCGATATTTGACGAAATAACTGAACGAATTATGTTATTTGTACAGTACAATAACATAAAATACTTTTATCCCAGTATCCTACAATCTGATGACAATAAATTTATAAAAATATTTTCTAAATGAAATAAAAATATAAATGCAAAAATTATAATTAGTATGTGTACTTAATTTTTTTTTATACCACATTTATATACTTTGGAATATTATTCCATTGTAATAATAATAAAGATCATTTTATTTCAACACATAAATTACACAAAATCAAACAATAATGTTTTAGCACTAAACTTCTGGGTTGGCGATTTGTAATAGAACACTTTACCACTTGCACTAATTATTTTACTTTCACGATCCAACACTCACTTTTTCACAATTTGCAATCACTTTTTCTTTTTCCTAATTTCACAAATGTTTATTAAGAACTGAGCAATATTAGGACAGTGTCAAATTTTTATAATTACCCGAGACAATCAATTGCCAATTAAAATAGTTCAATAACAGAATTAACAAAATCACTTTATTTAATTAAATTAGCTTAATATTTAATCTTTACAAAATAATATTTATTATATATTAATGGAATATACACCCGATATTAATTTGTTTTTATTAACATTATTATAGGCCAACAGAATGTTGCCATCAATGCCATCGTATTTATATATATCAAATTAAAAAATAATTATTATTTGACACATTATTATTGCTTCTTTAATTCATTTATTTTAATTTATTATAATAAATACAGTTATTTTAAATTAAAAGATGTAAAATATGATGACTATGCTAACCAATATCTAAAATGCCATTCATTGGTTCATCGATATATGTATTTTATCGATTACGTTCAAACACTAGAAATATTGTATTGTGTATCAGTGTTTATAATAATGTAATAAAATCTTTGTGTGCGTTATGCGTCACTTGGTTGAACTAGTTTTCATACATTTGTATTTTATGTCAGGTCCAGTCTCTAATTCGTCCATGATCGGGAGCTTAGATTATATGTATATATAATATATTTTGCTGAGTTTCTTTCGATAGTTGTTCTCAAGATTAAGGCATTATTTCCAAACTGCTGATAAGATTATTTTGATAATTAAATAAAAATATTTGTTTTATAACAATTTATTGAGATTATTTGTTGAGATTTATTTGTTTTATTGTTTGAATATTTATACTGTTTCCTTGTGTTAAGTTTTTTCATATAACAATATATTATAATATACGTATATGTGTAGACATATTTATTTTTATTAGCCAATTTTAGAAAACAACGAATATTATTATACATTATATGTTATTTATTTGCAAAGTTTCATATTTAGGGTTGTGGTACATATAAAGGCTGTCTGAAAGCTAGCTGTAAATGACTTATAAGCCTGATTGTAACTACATATATAACGTATAATCTAAGATAAATATCATAGTTTTAGTATTTGAAAAAAAAAATATTATCGTGAATATAATTTTGCTTGTGAATTGTGTAAAGGTTAATGATAAAAAAAAACTTATTTTGAATCGATTTGGGGTATCTATTTTATAGATATCTAGTTTATAATGGGGTGTTTTGAATATAATCTGTGTCAAACTTCCATGTATCGTCAATTTCGGTATAGTTGCTATGACTGTATAATATGGCGTAAGTCATAAGATGGGTTTCCTTATATTCGGTGTTCTAACGTAATATGATATAAGTTTACTCATAAAACCGTGCAATAAATACACTTTAGGTTTATGGTGATTAAAATACTTATTATTTATTTTGTATATATGTATTATAAATGATGTCATATACATAATGCACATAAAAAATAAATGTTACTATAGTAAATTCTTAACAATATTTCAATTGCAATTTGTTATTTATTTATAAGATTTTATTATTTATTTACATCCCATCTTGTTTTATCTTTCAATTTTCATATTGCCAGTTATCTATACAGATATAATATTATATAATTTTAACATTTACTTATTTCAATTTTTTAAATAGTATTTGAATCTGATCTTTTTTTAATATATTAGTTTAAGTTTACACATATCTAAATATAATGTATTGACAGTATTGTATAGAAATTAGATGTAGTTTTTGATAATTATCAATAGCATTTTTCTAAAATACATTTGATGATCTAAAACGATGAATATTTGTTAAAAGACGTAGATTTAAAGTTTTATATTGTAGTTAGATTAGTATATTAGTTTTCTCAGATACATATTGTAATTTGGTAATGGTGCGTGCCTCTTTATAAATTTATATAAATAATTAATCAAATGAGGATGTTTAAAAAAAAATGGGTGCTTGTAACCTTTACGCGCGGTTGAAGTAAAACTTCTTTGGCAAATATCACAATTAAATTAAAACAAATTAATAATTAAATAACGTATGTTAGGCATATTACAATCATATATTTATAGTATATCATATACGGAAAAAATATAATATTATGTATTTGTCAGACAATAACAGTCACCATGGCAACAAAGAAATGGCATAATAGCCTTTATTTAATTTATGCACATTCATACCAGAGTAATAAATATTCATTTTTATAAGTAACTAGCATTGCCCGCGGCTCCGCTCACGTTCAGATGACAAAAACCAAATTCTTAGGTTCTACATATTAGTTTACTCTTACATTGCAGTTTTTGTATTTTTTCTCAGAAATGAGATATTTTCTCGCGGTAAAAAGTATCCTATATGTTGACCCGGATAACCAGCTATCATTATACCAAATTTCATCAAAATCCCTTCAGTGGTTTTTCCGTGATGCGGTAACAGACAGACAGACAGACAGAAAGACAGCCAGACAAAAATTCTAAAAACCATAGAATCGGCCTATGTATCGATAATCATGTCTATTTCAATAAGATTTTCCAAAAAAATATTTAATGTACAGATTCGGCTTAGTTACAATTTTATTATATGTATAGATAAGTTTAGTTTTTTGATAAATTTAAAAGTTATATGACATTTTATTTAACATATATTACATAACTATTATTAAGTATTATTTTTGACTTCCTGTGTAATGTATCCTATCTCATTCTCTCGCCGGTATAATCCTATATATTTATGTGTTTGCCTCTTTCTCGTGCCGCATTTCCGTTTCGTCGAGTTTCAAATCACAACGATTATAAAGAAGTTTCACTTCAAAATATAAAATGTGAAAATTGATCATGCCCTATTAGACGTTAAGATAAGAAAATAAGGAGATGAGGCACTGTATATTAGATAGCTTTATGTTGATAAACTCAGGTGAAACATTTGTGATTACATTGTAGTTTCGTGCGAAAATCTTTTTGTAAGTCGATCTCTAGTCATGGGGAGTTTCCAAAATACACATGACATGAACCATGGCACATATGAAGTATTATTCGTGTCTTCAGCCTTTTTTTGACGTCCCACAGTTGGGCACGGGCCTCCCTTCAGTACGAGGAGGATCAGGCCATAGTCCACCACGCTGGCCAAGTGCGGGTTGGCGGATTTCACATATCTGTCGAAAACTTGCTAGGTTTTCTCCGACATGCAGATTTCCTCACGATGTTTTCCTTCACCGTTAAAACAAGTGGTAATCATGTTGAAAATAATTCGCACATGAAAATATCAGAAGTGCGAAACCCGGGATTTGAAACCGCTTCATTCGGTTACCCAAGCGAGCGCGTTACCACTGGACTACCACTGCCTCGTTAAGTAATATTTATCTTTTTATTAATTATTGTATTAAAAAAATAGATTGATTGTGACATCAAATCAAGTTGCACTTGACCGATTTTTCAGTGATCAAAGACGCTAATAAGTTCCGAGTTTTTTTACGTATATAATACGCAGCAACTCTAGAATATACTAACCAATTTTAATTTTATTATCGCGTGATGACTCCATATATGGGTACAACATTTACTATTTAAATTTCATATTAACACGTAGTCAGTCATATAAGTAACTCACGTTTCACAACAGCTCTAGAATATATTGAAATGGCGAAGGGTTTAGTCTTGCTCATATTATTTTTGCTCATTAGAAATATATTTGGCCTAGTACGCGACGAGACGGTTTTGTATCCCGAATTGTTGAAAACAAATGTCAATATTTGGGCGGGAAATGATTATATAGATTATAATCCCGATCAAAATTCTGCAATCGTATATATAGAGGCTCCCGTGGATTAAATATGGCCTTGTTAGACAGAGATTTTTCTGTAATAAATGAAGTCAATATAAGATCAGCCTAAAATTTTCTGAAGAAATAATGGAAATAAAATACAGAAATGGTCCATTTTTTTTTGAACTTTGGGGATGAATATTTGATTGACCTTTGCTAAGGGTGACATGTGCAAGTATAAAAAAAAATAAGATTGTCTACGTTTGACGTTGGATTTTTTTTAAATATTGATTGTGTTTTTTTTAATATACCTACGGACCATAACGTCGCATTATTTAGTGTATTTTTAATAAATTGGACTAGGTTTAATAGAATTGCTTCCTGTTGAATAAAGGGATATTGTAATTTGTAATGATCTTGTAGTTTAAGGAAATGAAAAGACATTATTATTATAGAATTTGTGTTTACTCAATTTATATTGTATTTAGATAGAAATAAATATTTTTGGTTATACATTTTAAATTGTTTTTTTTTCATGATCAAATGAAAAATGTTGTTTTGCGCGTTGTAAGCATTTTAAGACTTTATTTTTAATATTTTATCAACATATATTGTTTTGATTGATTTTTTCATCAATAATAAAGTAAGAATTATATTAAAATTAAGTAGAATTTTTTTAATACAACCTTTTGACATAAAAATGATACTTGTAAATCTTAAATGTTATTAATGTGAATTAGCCTAATTCAATTATTTATATATTATTGAAAGTAAAATATAAAAAAAAAAAATAGTACCAAATTTTATAAATTATGAGTTATTATTTACAGGTATCTAATATACTACTCTCAAAGATTAAACTCAACTTTTTTGTCGATTAGTAGGTACCTACTGTATATATTTTTGATATTATATTCAGTCCTTTTTAACGTCCCACAGCTGTGCATGGGCCTTCTCAAAATGAGAGGGGGATACAGACCATAGCCCATCACGCTGGCCGAGTGCGGGTTAATTTATTATAATATATTATAGCCTATAGCCTTCCCCAAAAGGGGGCTATCTAATACAAAAAAAATTTTTTACATCGGATTAGTAGTTCCCGAGATTAGCGCGTTCAAACAAACAAACTCTGCCTCTTTATAATATTAGTTTAGACTAGCGTTGCTCGCGGTTCCGCCCGCGTTCAGATGACCAAAAACCAAGTTCTTAGGTTTTACATATTGTCTTACATTGCAGTTTTTGTATTTTTTCTCAGAAATTAGATATTTTCCCACGGTAAAAAGTCCTATATGTTGACTCGGATAACCAGCTATCACGATACCAAATTTCATCAAAATCCCTCCAGTTGTTTTTCTGTAATGCGGTAACAGACAGACAGAGAGACAAAAAATCTAAAAACTATGGATTCGGCCTCTGTATCGATAATAATGTTTATTTCAATAATATTTTCCAAAATATTTAATGCACAGAGTGGGTTAGTTACAATTTTATTATATGTATAGATTATGTCTTTATTTTACTTACCGAATTCGATTATTCTCGTGGTTAGAGACAAAATCTTATGTGTAATCCAAACTGCGATCTCTAGAGTACTAATTACTAAGTATTCTATGTAATTTAAATATGAAATTAATACTTCAACTAGCTAGATTTCTACTTTTTATTGAGTATATAATATATTGAAATATACTTATATTATTTTAATATGAATAAAATATGCACAATCTAATTATTAAGTTCAAATAGCAAAAAAATAAATAAAAAGAAGAAATAAAATATACTTAATTAGGATTAAATTTATTTAATAACATTTAATTTTATAAATAATAATATTATAACTTAAGATAAAGATATTTTCCTATTAGGACAAATATTTGAGTTTCTAAAATCAAACTTGTGCTTTGGTATTGAAAACTATGTAATTGGTTCGAACCAAATGGAAAGCTATCAATCAACCGACCCATGAGGGTAGTGTTTTTATTCTTCTATCCAAGCCTGTAAGCGAATTTTCGTAGTTTGCGCCTTCAAAATCCGCCAAAAGATCGTTATTAGGATTGTCACCTCTCAAAGCAGATCTTTTCTGAATGTTGTGTTCAGGTCCATCAGGTATAGAAGTGATCTCTTCCAACGGTATCACCACAGGAACGAACCCGATGAGTCCTTTACTTAGAAGAATCTCTATTTCTGACCGATTTTCTTGTTTTAAGACTGGCTTCGCACTTATTGCAGTTAATCCCAAAAGAAAAATAAAAACTTTAATGGCCATAACTGTACTTGTTTACCGTAATCGTAATATGAACTAGCCCAATGATTGTTTTGCAATAAATATTATGATGCATGCAAAGGCTTTATAACTAGTGAACCGTAGTCTTGAAATTTAACTAATTGTGCTAACAAAATTACACTGAAATGGATGCAAACGCATATTTTCGGTCGATCACTTGCTAATATTATAAATAAATAATGTCAATGATACAGTGACCATGGGAATGAATACCTTCGATGTATTGTTGATTTCTCTGAAAAATGCGATGTTAATATTTTGAATTAGGTACTTATATATGCGTATTCATTCTTCATTGTCAACAATATGTTCGTATTTATGTGATTCAGCTACTAAGTTTAATTCTTGGAAGTACTTCAACACCATAAGTCATGATGATGATCTGTAAACCTAAGTCATGATGATGATCTGTAAACCTAAGTCATGATGATGTATCAATAAATCTAATTTTATTTGTTTATTTTGTTTTTATTGCAATATAGCTTCCTTTTGTTACACCATAGTGGCAGGTACTAAAATGTAAATTTATTCATTCTCATATTTATTATATTCTATGGTGTTTATAGAGAGATAGATCATTTTTGGTATTAATAATTAGAATATTTATGGTTTTTGTCATATCTCTGCTTTTAAGGAAATTGTTTAAGGCTCATTGTAAATTTTACGTTTACCAGATTGCGGCGAAGCTCCAAGGAGGGTTGTGTGTCTGACCTGTATGTACATAATATAAGTCCAATCCTATTTTCCCTCGTTATAAGATAATAAACGGCTTAACCGATTTTGATTATTCATACTTCGTTAGTTTCGTCTTGATAATGCGAGTGTTATAGCCTATACACTATATGGATATTATTAAAAATCAAAATGTGTGGATCTCAGGCGTCAATTTGTGTCTATGCTTTTTTTTCATCCAAACCTCATGGGGTATTAAAATAAAGGTTTTTAAGAGGCTATCAAAAAAAATATAATTAAATAATATTACTTAAATAACATCGTTTTTTTTTCATAGATTCAGAGTGACATTACTTTCTCTTCATGTACACACGGAAATAAAATATTTCTTTAGCAGAGTGTGGGAGTGCGTATCGTCGCAATAGGGTGTGAACGTGAAGCGCAGATTTGTCTAAGTAATAAGTTTGCTAATGCGAGAGTCTAATAATAGCTTCATTTTTGCATCCGTATCTAAATATGAATAAGAATCAATACCCGTATCTAAAATGAAAAATTTGTGAGAATGCAACGTGCGAACAAATACACGATCGGATTATCGAAACTATAAATTTTCTAAAATGATTAAAGATATTTTCCTTTGAAATTTTAAAAGATATTTTTTTACTAAGAATAACAAAGTCAGTGATTTTTTTTAGCATAGAGAATATTAGCGATCTTTTAAAAAGGTTATATTTTCGGGGACCCCTTTATTTCAGGAAAAAAAAGAATCCTCTATGTTAACTGGCTTATGCGTGATTGGCAAATGAAATATTGACAAATAAAAAATTTCGATTTGTTGTATGTATAAAAAATCTATTTATTAGATATAAAATATATTGGCCACCTTCGATTTTAGTTTATGCGAAGATGATAAAGATGCCTTAACTATAACAATATATTTGTATATGGGAAGTGTTAAAGAGAATACTTAACACATTCTTATTTGGCGGTATAAGGAGGATGTATTCCCATATATGGCATAAAAGATATATGTATATAAGCTACGAATAAATAATAATTTATTCGTAGTATATAAGACATCATTTTTGCCTAGTGTTACTGTCAATTTATCATCATTACGATCAGTAACCTGTGACAGAACAACTATGCAAGTATTTGACAACTATACAAGATAGGCCAAGACAATTTGGCTAATCTTGGGTAGGTAAGTGTTATAATTTTTATTTTATTTAAACAGATTTCCCGATGAAATGTTTGTTGAAGATCCTAAATAAAATAAAATAAAAAAAATTATACAAAAACTTACATCTTAATAAATTAACAGTTCTTTTTTTTCTATTTATTTTATAATAGGTACCTACTTGTACTTCGAAAATTGTGACAACATAAATATAGATAACTAGCAGAATCCGCGGTTTCGCTCGCGCTAAAACTACAAAAAATCTCTAGAAAGGTAGTTTCAAACAAACTTTCATCCCCTATTTATAGTTCTATTTATATTTATTGAAGAGTATTAATACCAAGTTTCAAGTAATTCTGATGAAAAATATTTTTTTTTGATTATACTACTTTCGCGGTAAAAAGTAGTCTATGTCACTCTCCAGTTCTCCAAGTATCCCCACACAAAAAATTACTCCAATCCGCCACTCGGTTTCGACGTGAAAGAAGGACAAACAAACAAACACACTTTCACATTTACAATATTAGTATGGATATTTAAAACTAGGGATGGGCCGAAATTCGTTTTACATTCAGTTTAACTGAATTTCGGCAACTTGAGTCGAACTTCAGCATTCGGCCGAAATTCGACAATAGAAAAAACTACCTACTTGCACTGTTTTGACTGAAATTAATAGAGAGCATGTCTGTTATAACAGTAGAATAAAATTATGTTTTTTATATCCTACTCATTAGTCCGATCGGAATTAAGGAAGGAACAAAAAAATTAAAACCTGAAGTTGTATATCTTCAAAACGTTAGCAGGTATATAAGAAACAAAAATTCGTAAAATGTCCCCGATGTTCCGCTGCCCCCTAGCTAGTAGTAAAAATCTACAACTTTTATAGATGATATCTACTTTTTACAATAACGTCAAACTTTTCGAAATACTGGCAAAAAAGCGCGATTTTAAATTTTTTTCTTGGTCTTTTCATGTCGTTATTTTTAATTTCTGCAATATTTTTTTTTATTTTCATGAAACTAGGGAAATGTTATCTTCAAAATACCTATAATATCCAAACATTTTTTAAAATTGAAATATTTAGGTGTTCCCTAAATTCCTATATTATGTTTTATAGTCTCGGGAGGCTGAAAATCACCCCCAACTTCGTAGAGTCGCCCTGTAAAAAGCCCTTAAAAATTGAAAGAATTAGGGAAATGGATAATTTTCACTTTAACTTTTTACATTTTTTTTAAATAATCATTGAAAAAGTGTACTACCAAAGTAAAAGGGATGCTATAAAAAACTTTAATAAAAATCAAGAAAAAATTGAAAAACGAAATATCTCGAAAACTTAGAGGTTTATTATATCGTATATATGTGTATTGTAAAAAGTGTCATGTACAAAAGTTGTAGATTTACAGACCTAGAACTTTTGTAGAGAACATTTTTCGATAGGATGTCACAGTAAGCCGAACATTAAAAAAAAACACAATTTTTCAACGCTTTTCATCCTCTTATTTCTCGGGGGTAACAGGACATCGGGGCCATTTTACAGATTTTTGTTATTTGTATACTTCAGGTTTCATATATTATTATTTCTTTATTAAAAGTAAACGGATTCCCATAGGTCTACCTGGTCGTTTATTTTAGTTAGGAACATATAAATAAGCCATAATTCGTATGCGATAAAAAATTAAAATAAAATAAAATTAATTAATTTCTTCTAATAAACATTTTAATTACAATTCGTAAATTAAATTAAAAAAAATCACTTTTTTGGTTCGCAAATTAAACACTCAGAAACATTAAGTACTTTTAATTATTAAAGGGTCACAACCTGTCTCTCATCAAAGCGCGGTGAAATTGAACCGAATTTTTTATTCTCACCGAATGTTCGGCCGAAGTTTGTATTCGGTTCAAACCACATTCGGCCCATCCCTACTTAAAACATAAATGAATACCTATTTATTGAACGTGGATTTTTAGAAGCAGAATCTAAATACAACACGAATAAATAATAAAAGCTTCATAATATAATGTAATCTCTATTACTATTACATTTTTTATTTTTATCATCTTCATGAAGTAAGGGTTGTTAGCACCTTATTAGCACTTGACCGTGAGTCAAGGCGCGTGCATCAATGATTACTATAAGATTTATTTATTGTTATTTATTGTATTTATCTTAAAACGTGCGTCAATGCTGCCATAACAAATAATACAGATTATAGATTTTCTAAGTATTCAGTATACAGTTTCAATAATGCTTAATATTTTCTGTAAACAGTTGGAGATTTATAAAGCGACAGGATTTAGCTGCGGAAGATCAGTGTTGAGTAAATTCAGACAAGATTGGATCTATTGGAAATGCGTTCAATGTTTTTCGTCGTCGCGTCGTTGGCGCTGTTAGCGGCCTGCGCGTGCGCTCCAGAAGGGGAGGTGATCCAGCACATCCCACCAAAAGCAGAAGAAACACCGTCAGCTATAGGAAAAGATGGTGTGGCTTCACCTGCTGTGGGCGACGCTGCTGGTTCTTCTAAGCCAATCCACGTAGCCAGGTCTCGCAGAGACCTGGCAGGCCAAGAAAGCGACCTTCTTCCCTCTGCCAACGATGGAGATGCATCAGTATTCGGTGAATCCTCCAATCTCGATGGCCGTGGCCGCATCAAGGTCCTGCCAGCTTATCTCGGCTAACCCATCCTCGATTACCCTCTAAAGGGTTATTGTAAATTTGATTTGAAGGAAACTCAGTGTTTTTATTTTTAAAGTATATATATATATGTCTTATATGTCTAAGCTATCAGCTTATTTGTTTGTTTTAATTTTCTAAGTTGAATATATTTAAATATGTATATTTTCATTTTCATTTTTTTGATTTGAATTTTAATAGATGAATTTTTGCATCAAATTTTATTTAATAAATATTTCCAATATTAATATTATATTTTATTTTCAATGAATAATTTGAAGAGGTTTCACTCCATATACCTCCATGTAAGAGCACATAAGATTTCAAGGACTCTCCCTCCCGCTTCGTACGTAAGATTTTATCTGATTTTAGAAAAGGATCAATTGCACTATAACTTATAAAGACGTAAATCAAAGATTTAATTTTTTTTAAAGATAAGTTAGGATAAACCATTATATTATTATAAGATTTAGATAAATATTAGATATATGTGGTACACCTTATGCCTCCTCTACACGTCGGCAGATGCGTCCGCAGACGCCGGCAGAGGCATCCGCAGATGGATCACCACGAGCCGACCACACGTCCGTAGGTTTATCAGTCTGTGTTGGTTCTCGACAGACGCATCACAAACGCACGCAAAATGGATATTGAAACCGTAGCTGCCGCAGCTATTTATTTATTATGCATAAAATACACACATTAAAGATTTTGAAAACTTAATGAACAATAAAAAAATTCAAAATAAAAATATGTATCTATAAATAAAATAGTACATTAAAAAAGAAAAGATGACTTTCAAGAGTTCTTTTCCCCAACGCTTAGCTCTCAACTCCGAAAAACCACAATAAAAAAATAAAAAGAATTGCATACAGTTTAATTAGATATTATTATGTAATATAATGAACCATCGTGCAAAATTTTTTACCTAGTAGAAGTTTAAAAAGAAAAAGAAATCATGGCGTTTTACACATACTTTCATTTTATTCATTTGGTATACAGCTTTATAAATCTATAGTAACGTAACGCTAATCAGATAATGCAAATTACAGCTCATTAGGATTAACATTATAATTAAAAACATTTATTTATAAATATGGCTGATATGCACATCACGTATTCCTCCATTTATACTTAATCATGAAACCAGTAATAGTTATTATATTTTACTTCATATTCGGATTAAATTGTATGATAATTAAAGAAAGTGTAAAAAAATACGACGTAGATAATGATGAAATATCACCACAGGATTTAATTCCTTCTAAATTTGTTGTTAAAAGAGAAATCCCAGATAATAATGAAATAATTTCGACAGCGGCGAGCAACAATTATGTTTATCGACCACTTTTCAGTTACAGAAGGATTGAGCACAGCAAGCGAAGAATCACTATGTATAACTCATTTCTTGGATAGGTAGGTGGTTTAAATTTTCTTATAGTTAATGAAATTGTTTTATTTACTGTTTTATTTTTGTCCGTTCGCGTGATAAGTGGGGCGGGGATCAAAGGTAGGTAGTGTGATCATCCCCAGGATATAATTTATGTCCTTGCCAAATTTTATCCAAATCTATTCTGGCTTAAGGATGAGAGGTACCTAATAAGACAAATAGAGCAACTTTCACATTTATAATATTAGTATAGATTACATCTTTTAATTATGTTACTAAAGAATTATTGCCTTTATTTGAATTCATTTTATTTTAATTGGCTTCATAAAATGGTAGCAAATTGCCCATTTCTTTAATTGGAGGTTTATTAACACAGGCATTTAGAACAACTCACAAACCTAACTTAGGCTGAAAGTATTGTTCTGATTTTTTTATAATGAAAACTTTTATAACAATATTTCTTTTTATTGTTGCATTTGTTTATGTAAGTTTATAGTTATTTGAATTAGTAGGAATCGAAATACGTACTGAAATTTTAAATGAAATATTTACTGGAATTTTAAAAATAGTCAAGAGATTGGTAAATACTATTAATAGATAATACAGTACTATATTTGATTTCAGGAAACAATATCTGGAATTTCACCAATTCACGATTATACAAATAAAGTTAATTCTAAGCTCAACAATGAAAAGTTTTTATTAAGTTCACCTCACAAAGTTCTAAAACACTTGGACAACTCAATTCTAAAATCGACCAAAAATGTAACACAAAATCCGGAAATGGAAGAAAATCTATACAAAATATCAAAAGATTTAGTTTCTGCAATACTAACCAAACTTGAAATACAGGATAAAATAACAAGAATTACACGAGAGGCGCTAGATGCACCAGGTAAAACTAAAGGTATGACGGCAATAGAGACTAGGCGTATATTAGATTACATCTCAAGAACGCTATCTGGGCATATCTTGACTATAACTAGAGCATCTACTGAACCCGAACTGCATCGTTTAGTTTTTGGCTTAGCACAAATAGCAGCGGAAGTATCCATTGTTTCCGCTTTAAAGGATATCACATACGCGACAGCTCTATCTAAAAAGCAATCGGTTGATTTATCACTTCGGAAAAAGAGGTCTGCATTTCCTAAGCATGAAATTATTGGAACTACCTTCCCGCCTGCTAGCAATCTTATACCTACTGTGTATGATGCTGTATTAAATAAATCAAGTGGTAGTGTATCTTTACGTAATTTTGATTCAAGTATTATGAAACAAAGAGAATCATCTGAACAAATAACTCCATACTCGGTTATTTCTAAAAACGACAGAAAAGTTGTGCATATAATACCTAACAAGAAAAAAGCATTTGCTGAAGCTCCAAAAGTGTTTTTAAATCAAACAGTTCTTAAAATCGAGAACAATGAAATTAATAGTACACAAAATGACGCAATTGTTCTAGAAAAAAAATTGAATGCAACTCATTACGTAACTGTAGATACACAAACATTAGACGCACAAGAATCGAACGTACCGAGTCTTGTAGACGATTGGATAGACCCAAGGGAAAATATTTATGCACTGAATCCAGATGTGGTCGCTGAAATGGAAATAGATCAACCAGAAACAGAAGAAGAAGGCACAAGCGAAAAGAAAGCTAAACAAAAATTAGAACGCCTAGAACTAAAAGCAAAAAAGGCTATACTTTATGCTGGTGATGTTGCATACCTAACAGCCGCTAGTGTAGTAGCAATGAGACGCGCTTTAACTGCCTCAATAGAAGTGAACATGTCAGTGAAATATGCTAAGAATGGTATGGCAAACCATCAAGATTTAATGATGAATTTAGCCAAGACAGCTGCCCAACAAGCTGGCAAGGAAGCTAAAAGCGCCATATCTAAATCTTTAGCTTGTGAACGTGTTATAAAACTTGCCTTGAGATATACTGCCCAATCGAAAGGCGCTAAACTAAACCACGTGGCTAACAGAATTGTTATGGACTCTCTGTCTCTAGCTACTTTGGCCAAGTCCATGGCATTTGTGTCATCTGATATCGCTATAAACTCATTATATCAAGCAACTGATGTAAAACCACCTTCATAAATCATTTTATCTATTTTCATTTTATTTACTGAATTATGTATTCCACGTATAACTATTTAAAGTGTTATGTTATATTTTAAGTATGAAGATGTCGCTATGTTAGCAATAAATAGAGTATTCTTATTAATTTGTATTTTTTTTTATCTTCTATATTGTTCTTATTATTCTATGACAGTCATTTTGTAATAGACATTCTCTCCTTATCATATTGTATAATGTGTATGAAATACACATCCCATCAAAACATAAATGTGAAAATGGAAGCCAAGTTTAATATTAAGAATACCTATGCGTGGTTGTCAACTTCAGCGACAAGAGAATTGATATCTAAATGGGTGCCACGTTCTGTAGATAATGTTTTTACATACAAGTTATTTTATAATCGGCTAATCACTTATATCTTCTTTATGTTATACGCAAGTTACTGGTTTTATCTTGCAAGGTCAATATGTCTCACTCTTCTAAAAACTTGCTTTACTGGTAAAAACTAGCCAAGTCAAATCTTGAACTTCAGTTAATCCTAAGTTATCTACTCTGTGTAAATAATTCTATATTTAAATTTCAAACACTTTTGTAGCAGAAAAAACAAGAATAGTGTTTTAAATTTATTTTAGAACCTTGTATGTTCTAATGAAAAAAATTCAGGATTATTTATAGAATATAATATTTTTTCCCGACTCGTCAAATTGCAAAGTTGGAATGTTTATGGCGACATTGTATAAATGAATGATAATTGAAAAAAAAAATTGTTTATAAAGTAAAAATTATCGATTACTCCTATTTTTTAATTTTTTTAAATGTAAACGCCCACTTAATGTTGGGGGTCATTTTCAGTCTCTCGAGACCATAAAACATACTTTTCTTGAAATGGTGAAACATTTCAATTTTTCGATTATTTTTTCCGAGATTAAATTCCCTTAGTTTCATGAAAATCAAAAGATTATTCTAGAAATGAAAAATAAAAAACCAAGAAAAAGTAAAAAATTGACTTTTTTTCCAAATATCTCGAAAACTTTGAGGTAATTGTAAAAAGTGATATTTATAAAAGTTGTAGATTTTTACTAGACCTAAAACTTTTGTAAAAACCATTTTTCGATAGAACGTCACAGTAAACCGGAAATTGAAAAAAAACTATTTTTTAACGCTTTGCGTCCCCCCATTTCTCGGTAGCAGGGCATGTGGGACATTTTACGAATTTGTATTCCTTATATAACTGCTAACATTTTAAAATCATAAAGCTTCAAATTTTCAATATTTTGTTCCCAAACCGGATTCCGATTGGATTACTAAGTAATAAGTATATTTCTATACATTTTTTTATTTTTCTTCCCACAGTGGCCTTTTTAATATCCACTTGTTATTTAAAAATACTGCATTTCGATTTAAAAAATAATTTTAACTTACCATATGTAATACCAAACTTATATCTCTTAAGCCTAGTTCGCATTAAGCTAGTATTTTAGTCTAGTAGCGAGTAATTTAGTAACTAAACGTGTCTGAACACTAAAAATTTAGTCGATTAGTTTAGTAAGTAATTTAGTCGAGTCAATTCATTTTATTCTATTTTTTTGGGCGAGTAGCAGCCCCCACCACGCGTCCGAGCTCACTGGTTCACCGGCTAAACAAGTGCGAACCTGTCGAATTAGTCGAGTTCATTAGTTGCCGCCATAATGTCGTTTCGCTGGAGCGACGAAATGACTTTTAAATTCTTTGGGATCTTCCAATGCTAATTCCTTCAGAAGACAATTAGTACCTCCTAGTTTATCTCATCTTTCGATTCATTTTCGTACCCATAGCTTCTTTTTATTAATCACACAAATTTCCTCATTCACCTCTTCTAAAATAGTCGTTACGATCAGCTTAATCAGTTTATTTACTTTATTGCGTTGTAGGCTGTTCATCTTGCAAAACACCACTCACTTGTAAACTGTACTCGACCAAAGTGCGAACGATTTTTGGTGAGTAGCGAGTAATTTAGCTACTAAATTACTCGCTACTAGACTACAATACTAGCTTAATGCGAACTAGGCTTTAGATCAACTGGGAACCCTTTTTTCCAGGTATATATATGTAGTTAAGGAAACTTAACATAATAAAAACTAAAAAAACATTAATAAGTAAAAAAATAACTGATTGGTAGCTTTCATTTACTTTATGATAGATACCTAATGAAATATTTTCGAAGTCGGTGTGCTTTTATTTGTATCGGCTGGCACCGACTTCGAAAATATCTGATTAGTAAATTAGATAAAATAGACTATATAAGATTAAATAGACTATATAGTAAATAAACACTACCTATCAGATATTTTTAACTTTTTAGTATTTTTTTTAGTTTTTATTTTTCTATTTATGTTGTACATATAGTACATAGTAGCAAAATAAGAAGAAAGTATTAAAAATTCAGTAGATAAAAATTAATCAAACCCTATTTTCAACACTTATAGGGTGGATTTTTTGATAGATAGGGGTGGATAAAGCCACGCGTTGACGAATTTTTACTTTGATAAATGCAGAATTGTAGAGAACTGAGAAATTAATATACCCTATTAGAGAAAAAAGTTATTTAATTAAATATTTAAAGAATTATTTTGTGACTGGACTGAACATTTTTAACTTTATTGCAAAGCACCATCTGTTTTTATATAACTGCACTAACTGAGGAACAATTATATTGATCATACTCACTATATTGACAGATCTCTTAAATTTATTCTTTGTCACTAGATGGCGCTGCTCAGTAGAAATGTAAAAAATATATTAAACTAGCATTGCCCGCGGCTCCGCTCGCGTTCAAATGAGAAAAACCTAATTCGTAGGTTTTAAATATTAGTATACTCTTACATTGCAGTTTTTGTATTTTTCTCAGAAATAAGATATTTTCCCGCGGTAAAAAGTATCCTATATGTTGACCCGGATAACCAGCTATCACCATAGCAAATTACATCAAAATCCCTCCAGTGGTTTTTCTGTGATGCGGTAACAGACAGACAGACAGACAAAAATTCTAAAAACTATAGATTCGGCCTCTGTATCGACAATAACGTTTATTTCAATGAGATTTTCCAAAAAAAAATGATGTACAGATTCGGCTTAGTTACAATTTTATTATATTAATGTATAGATGTAAAATAATGTAATTTATTTTTCTAAGTTGTCAGTCACTGTTGGTGGTGAAAACGTTTTTATATGTTTTATATCTGTTTGCCCATTGTAACCATAGAAGCACACACATAATACAACGTAACATTAATATTTAAGTACCTTTTTTTTCTGTCAAGAAAAACCCTGTTCCCGGGTACCCGCTCGCCGATGGGGGATGCGAGACGGGTTATGTGGGGCTCCTGCCGCGCAAAGATGGAAGCGCGCGGCAGCCTACCCATTAGAAAAAGATTCTTCCGCGACCCCGACGGCGAGTGCCTATTAAGGCCCCTCCCAATGTCAGGGGCTGAGATATTCGACCACCCCTGACAGCCTCCTCAGCCAGAACACTGGACGGCCAACCTCCCCAAGTCGACCGCCCTCTGGCACCCTCACCCCACCGAAGTGGGAATATTTAAGTACCTGGGTTACCGAGCCTCGTTCGGAGTTTTTGGCCAAAAGTACAGTTCTATTTTTAATTTGGCTTAAAACAAAAAAAACTAAAAACTTAAAAAAAAACAGAGCAAAAGCTTTGTATCCGATCGGGATTCGAACCCGGACACCTATGATAGTCAATTATTGTAAATCTTGCGCCTTGGCCGCTTAACCATGACGCTTATGACCCAGCGTGCGAAATTAGCGACCATATTTTGCGTAAAATAATGCGAATGAAAACCGCATGAAAATTCGAAAACACGCGTTTTCCAAGATATAAGACTAATCTAAATCGATTTTTGGCCCCCGAAAACGCTCACATGCCAAATTTCTGCGAAATCGTTAGAGCCGGTTCCGAGATCGCCGGTATAAATATACAAGAAAAACGCCGGTATAAATAAATATGCTCGTTTAAAGATATTACACATTAAATAGATAAATTAATTATTAAAGGATAGAAAAAAAATTGGAGGTCATAAATTATAATAAATCATAAATTATATAATTGGTGGAGGTCAGTAAATTAATATTTTATCGACGTGCCAACTACCAACTACGTATGTACTTATAACCGCTGGCAAAAACTGTAGATAAACACTACAAAACCGAATTCTTTAATAGGTATTCTTACCAGTTTGAACTTTACAACTAATAAAAATGTTGAAATAATTTACTTTAGATCATGGAAATCATATGAGTTTTGTAATTCAATTGTCTTTAATGGCTTCAAAGCCAGTTGAATGATTTTTTTATATGGCTACTCGATTAATAAGCATTTTAACAGATCAATATGTACTATCGTTGCATACCAATATTATACTACTTACTTAAAGTTTAAACAATAGTCTTCTTAACCTTCACAATAGATTAAATAAACAATTTACAAAAGATTCAGGTGTCAATGCCGATATCCAGTAGTAACATTTTAACATTTACGAGTATATATTTATCAAAATAATGGCCATTTTATTAACATGTGTATACTGTATACTGTTTTAAAACATTATTATATACTAGCTGAACCCGCGGCTTCGCTAATTCGATAACACTACAGAAAAACTCAAAAAAATTAGGTTTCATACATACTTTCATCCGCTATTTTACCCCCTTATAGCATGAAAATCGAAAAATGCTAAAACAAGTATTTATTTAGCCCTCCAACTATCTCCACACAAAAATCACGTCAATCCATCACTCCGTTACGACGTGAAAGAAAGACAATCGAACAAACAAACAAACAAACAAACAAACAAACAAACAAACAAACAAACAAACAAACAAACAAACACTTTCACATTTATAATATTATTATGGATTATTTTAAAACATCATAATTGCACATTATTTTAAAATATTTTATTGGGCTTCCGTATTTTTCCTTAGTCTGAGCAATGAGCATATTGTGTGTTACGGTCATGTTC